ATGAAAGTCTTCACTCTTGTGCCATTTGTTTCTCCAGGCTAGACTCCTAGATAGTTACTAGGGCAAATGGTATGGACATTTTTAAGGCTGGTAATACGGAGAGATGAGGCCAAGTGCAGGAAGAACTTGTTCGCCACATTCTTGACCTGCACCGACTATTAGTTAAGCATGTCTTTGCTAATGTGACAAATGACAATTTGTATCAGGTATCCCACTGTTTCTGTTTGCATTTTTTATTTAGTAATGAGTGTGATGACCTTTTCCATCATAAATAGCAATTGGTAGAATATTTCTGTGGATTGGTCATTCATGTTCTTTGCCCATTTTTTTTCTACTTAGGTCTTTAAGTAGATTTTTATGAACTCTTTATAATGAGAGCAATTTCCCTATTGGTTGGTCTTTTTTTTGGACATGGGTACATTTTAATGTTGGGCCATCGGTGCAGGACCCTTAGGATTTCTGCTTTTTTTTTTTTTGAGATTGCGTTTCGCTCTTGTTACCCAGGCTGGAGTGCAATGGCACGATCTCGGCTCACCGCAACCTCCGCCTCCTGGGTTCAGGCAATTCTCCTGCCTCAGCCTCCTGAGTAGCTGGGATTACAGGCACACACCACCGTGCCCAGCTAATTTTTTGTTTTTAGTAGAGACAGGGTTTCACCATGTTGACCAGGATGGTCTCGATCTCTTGACCTCGTGATCCACCCACCTCGGCCTCCCAAAGTGCTGGGATTACAGGCTTGAGCCACCGCGCCCGGCCCAATTAATTCCTTCTTAGAGAACTATACTTTATCCAGTTGATTCCCTCCCTCACTACTCAAGAGTTGAAATGGAATATTACAAAAAAGTTAGATATATTTTTTGTTATTTCTAAATGCATACGTTGATGAAATGTATTTTGGAAATGTTACTGATCTGTGAAATCTCAAAGTCTGGATTAGAATTTTCAATAGGTCTTTATTACATAGATCACCTCTATTTTGTTAGGGATTTTGTATTGGGGTTGCTATTGTGAATGGGGTCTTTTTTCCCATTATTCTATTTACATCGTCTTTTATAACATAAAGCTTTTAGTGTTATTCAGCAACCATCTATTGAGCACCTCTGAACAAAGCATGTTCCCTACACTGGGCAGCTCATAGTCCTAACCAGGGACATAGGAAGATAGTTGATGATTACAATGTTGTTGTATTGAGAAGCTGTCACAGAAGCAAGAGAAGGGCTCTCAGTGCAGCCAATGGGAGATCAGAAAGCATTTCCAAGAGGTGCTGGTGCTCGAATTGAGTGACAACAAGGCATACAGCAAATGTTTGCTGAATGACTGACCGCTGCACACTCAAAAAGACTTGGCATTTTGATAATGATTTTTTTGCCTCCTGCAGAATCCTAGATATGAGGAAGGGTGGTATTGGTTGAGTCTTTTTTTTTTTTTTTTTTTTTAATGAAGGCACAGATCACCTAATTCCTTTCTGCCTTCCATTCACAAAGTACAAAATTGCAAAGAGTATCTCTTTACCATCGATTTCTTTCTACTTCAACTTTGGGCCAGACTCAAAACATTTATAATTGCTAGGACAGAAAGTGTTGTTATTTTTGTGGCTTGAGGCTAAGGCATATCTTAATGTACTTTATTTTTTTTTGAGATGGAGTTTCACTCTTGTTGCCCAGGCTGGAGTGCAATGGCATGATCTCAACTCACCACAACCTCTGCCTCCCAGGTTCAAGTGATTCTCTTGCCTCAGCCTCCTAAGTAGCTGGGACTACAGGCATGCGCCATCATGCCCGGCTAATTTTGTATTTTTAGTAGAGACAGAGTTTCTCCATGTTGGTCAGGCTAGTCTCAAACTCCTGACCTCAGGTGAGCTGCCTGCCTTGGCCTCCCAAAGTGCTGGGATTATAGGCGTGAGCCACCGAACCCGGCTGATGTACTTTTTAAATGTAGAAAATTAGGCTGCATTCTTCAACGTGGGACAAAAGAATGGAGAAAAATAACATGAGAAGCCAATCTCCTGTGGTGTGCTGCTTTCTGACTAAATATTTCTCTGCTACTTGCCCTCTCTGGGCCAGTCTGTTAATGGCCTTGGTTACCTCCTGTCCATTAAAGACTCCAAAACCCTATTTTCAACTGCTCACTATGACACATTTCAACCTGGACAAACTTCTTGGTCCTTTTTCAAGACAAAGCCAACCATGCCAGTCACTCCAAGACCCTCTGAGAACTCCACCCATACCTTGGGACACTGTGGTCACTGTTTGTGTGGCTGTTTTCCCCACTAAGCCATGAGGTCATAGAGGACAAAGGCCAAGCTTTCTTTTTTATAACTAACAGAAAATGTTTCTTTGAGCAATCAGCTAAGGTTACATAGGTCAACATTTTCTTCCCTTAAAAATATTAATTTAGGCAATGCTCTCTGAACTTCTGAGCAGGAAAGGGTCCTATTAAGATTCCAATGTGACTATCTTATTTTATGTGGAAGTGGCCAGTGGGGAAAGCTCTGAACCTTGTCACCCCAGAAGCTTAATGCCCTTTATCACTATTAGCTTGACTCCCAGCATAAAGACACAGTAAAGGACCTAAAATAATTTTGCACTATGCCCTTTTGGAGAAAATTTAAAAAGACAAAATAATGAAAGGGGTGCAGGGGACAGGGGAAAAAAAAAGACAAAATAACTTGGTCCAATGTAGGTAAAATGTATGAAGCTGTTTTGGAAACTTGAAATATGCATCCACATATGCATATGTAATATGCATACAGACACATAGTATAAACGGATTTTGAGAAGATAATTTTTTAAAAAGCCAAACCAACTGACTAAAATTACACCTCCACATTACTTTATGAAACTTATGATTAGCCAGCACTTCTAAAATAACAAAATGTGAGAGATTCAAACTGACAGTGACTGAGTTGCTGTAGTATAGTTCTTTTTTTTTTTTTTTTTTTTTTTTTTTGAGACAACGTCTGGCTCTGTCTCCCAGGCTGGAGTGCAGAGATGCGATCTTAGCTCATTGCAGCCTCCGCCTCCTGGGTTCAAGCAATTCCCTCCTCAGCCTCCTGGTAGCTGGGACTACAGGCACGCGCCACCACGCCCAGCTATTTTTTCTATTTTTAGTAGAGATGGGGTTTCACCATGTTGGCCAGGCTGGTCTCAAACTCCTGACCTCAAGTGTCCACTTCAGCTTCCCAAAGTGCTGGGATTATAGGCGTGGGCCACTTCACCTGGGTGGTTCTAATATTTATAGAAACATAATCAACATTACAAAAGGGCTTCTTTTAAATTGGCAGCTAAAAGGGTGTTAAGTGGAACTCACCTCAGTATGAAGACTGATTTTCTTTTCAATTTTTTTTTTTTTATTCTCTCATAATCAAGTCTCATCATGAAGACTGATTTTCTAATGAAGACAGGTCTGGCAGATTACTTGGGGGAATTAATTGCCCTTCAGAGAGTTCAGATGTGGCTGTGTCAGAGGCTGTGCTGATGTGCAGTGAGCAGGTTAGGAAGTGTTACTGGTTGAAACCAAGGGAGAATTAGTAATGAAGGTAAATTCCCAAGATGCCTGCCGCCACTAGGGGCTTACCTTGGTGGTGGTGGGGATGGGCTACTTTCTGGAAGAGGGACACTGAGATGCTACCACTTGGTTGTAGATTTTTTACTATTCTTCCAGTACCTCTAGCCCCTCCTCAGCACCCCCTGGGAATCAACTCTTCAAGCCAGGCAGTTCTGAATGGCTAGACAAGCCTAAGGGTGTCCCAGAAAGCAAAGCAAACAACAGGCAGAGAGGCCCATATAAGATGCACTACGTGGCCCATGTCCTCAGGGAGCTTGTGGTCCAGGAATGGAGAGCCCTGATCTAGAGGGTGACTACCCTAAAGACATCCCCCTAGTTTGGACCTTATAAGATGCTTTAGGCCACAGGGAAAAGGCAGCTATTCGCAGTATTTGAGTTTTCAGTTCTCTACTACAGTGGTCTTTAAACCACTGGTGCTCAGTAAAATCGCTTAAGAAGTTTAAACACTCGGGGCGAGGCGGCTCATGCCTGTAATCCCAGCACTTTGGGAGGCCGAGGCGGGCGGATCACCTGAGGTTGTGAGTTCGAGACTAGCCTGACCAACATGGAGGAAACCTTATCTCTAATAAAAATATAAAACTAGTCAGGCATTGTTGTGAGATCCCGTAATCGCGGCTACTTGGGAGGCTGAAGGAGAATTGCTTGAACCAGGAAAGCAGAGGTTTCGGTAAGCCAAGATCACGTCATTGCACTCCAGCCTAGGCAACAAGAGTGAAACTCCGTCTCAAAAAAAAAAAAAGAAGCTTAAACACACATTCTTTCTCCCCATAGCCCATCCCTGGAGAGTTTGCCTTTACCTTAGGGAATTGGGATGGGGACCCAGGTGAGGTACCCCTACTTTCCAAGCCTGCCCATAAATAGACTTGCCTCAGCCTTGCAGGTATCTGTCACATGGTCTTTTTTAGTCCTTTGTTCAATGTCAGACACTATTACCCTTCTGATAGCTCTGTTCTGCCCACTGGGTCTGGGCTGGGTTCTTTCTCCATTGATCTGGGGAGGTACCCCACATAAGTAAGTGAAATAGTAACACAGGGCAGCTGAGCCAGGGGAGGTGGTTTACATTGTGTACACGTGTAGTGTCACAGAAGATTCAATAGTAGGAAAGCTGAAGAGTTGGAGAGAACTACCCTCTGACTGGTCAATCTTGGGACACCCTGACATTTCCGACTGGCTTCATTTTAACAGAAGCCAGCTTATCCCAGAGAATAGACTCACCTGAGATTGGCAGGCCCTAAAAAAGCATTGCACCAAAATATTTCACTTTTAGTGTGGAGAAGTTCTGGAAATGGAAAGATCTTTCCCATGGGGAGTCGGAGAGCCAAAAACATCCTTAAAGAAAATGGCCTTAATGTTTCAAAAGAACTGAGAAGACTGGGGGGAAGTGAGAAAACAGAGGTGGATACACGTGAAGAAATTAAATAACTCCTCATATCTTAGAGCAGATTGAATTTACATTTTACTTAAAAAAAGGGGGGTGGGGAGTACATACACAAGGAGGAAAATGGGGTGAGGAACAATAAAGATCTGAAATGGATTTCTATGATTTTCTCCTACAATGATCGATTTTGTCTGCTGGGCAGTATTTTTCCTGCTGGGGTACAACTGCTTACAGTATTAACAAGGTTGGAGACAAAGGAACTGTCAAAGTTTAGGCCCGATGGAAAGAAGAGTAAGTTATCATATACAATGTAAGTTTACAATACACAGCATTTTCTTTAAATGATGTAACCCAGTCGCAAGAAGAAGTTAACAATACTAACACGAGAATAATCAAATTTTTGTTGTTATCCATGTGCAGCAACTAACTGCTTTACAAAAAAGCAAAATAATACAATATATCATCACATGTATTTACAGTGTAGTAAATATACTTTTCTGTCAAATTTTACACAAACTATTTACAGGTGAATATACTGCATTAAAAAAAAATTGTGTGGCTGACACTAAGAATGAATTTTTGTCTAAATCCATTGCATAACATTGAGTAAGACATGCCTCATTATGCCTGGGAGTTGGGGAGGATGTAGAAACAAAACCAAAAAACAAAAAGCCCAAACAAACTGAAAACTCCTAAAACCTACAAACTTGGGAGTGCTGCTGGCTGACACTCTGTCTCCCCAACTAGGACACAGGATAGAAGCTGACTGTTCAGGATGTGTCCTGGGCACCTGGCTCAGTCATGGACAGGTGTTGAGTGAACAGAAGACAGAGCTCTAGCCACTTTGCCCCAAAGCTAGTGAACTGCATCTCCATCTCGGCAACTAAGGGCACGGTGCTGGAATGGGAGTACTGGCATAACGGGTAGATTATGTAGGACAAAAACATGACTGAGTTCCTGTTTTCCTCTTTAAAAAGTCAGGGAAACAACCACAAACTGATGATGAATTACTTATAATATTCTTAACAGAACTTATGTCAATTACACAAAAATGGGCAACTTGCTCTAAACTTCAGAATTTCATTGATAGATTACAAAGAATGAAGACTAAAAAAGTGCTGCATTTCTCAGGGAACACATAGTGGTGAGAGGTCTATCTCACGTACATTTCAGTTACTTGGAAAGCTAGATTTTCCTCAGAAGTCTTTAAACAAGGTAAATTTTAAACTTTAGTAAGTTTTCAAATTCCTAGGATGTACTAGTCAAAAGTATTTTTGCAGTTCAAAGGTGGCTCACTTTTGATTTGTGCAACGCTGATCATTTCAGGAGGAATGAAATACTACACCTTGGTAAACTTGTTTATACAAAGATCAATATTTTTAACAGTAAACCTCTGGAAGTTTCTCTATTTTGATGGGAAAAGCAAAATAGCATTAACACCCCCATCATATGCACCAAACCAACAACCAAAAAAAAAAAAAAAAAAAGAAGAAAAACATTGAACTAAAGTTATTAAAGGCTTACATTGCCTGCTACTCCACGGCCTAGAAACTTGAAACTTACCCCAGAAACACTGGGTTGTGGGAGAGCCAAGACCACGGTGGCAGCTTGGCATCCTTGGCACTGGGTTACTGATCTAATTCTAAACTCAGTTCTAATTTTAGCTTCTTTATAGTTTTAGTTGCTCTGTTATTACAAACATTTTCTTCTAATGCAGCCTCTACAATAGTTAAAAAGTTTAGTAAATTGCACCCATCTTCAATATTTCCAACAATTCTATGTTAAAGTCACTAATAATGTTAAGGTCTTCTTTCCTTTTATTTTGGCAAATAATTCTTACTTTTCCCAGGACTATAAACAAATAAAAAAAATTAAATTCTTGTTATTTCTGAGTATCAAAAACAATTTTATTTACATTAACATATTACATTGTTACTGTGTGGATAAATATGAAATGTGTTATATTATTAAAATCAGAACACTTAAATGTACCATTATTTATTGAATTAGCTGTGGAATTTAATTTACTGAAATTCTCTAATGAAGAGCACTACAGGAAACTCCCCTCTCACCTAGATTTCTTTTTTCCCCTCCCAAAGCCATTATATCTTAACATATAAAGGGAACCTGGGATTAATACCTTTTTGTAATAAATATGGTTTGGTTCTATATTGGAACATCCAGCTACCAATATGCTCACTGAAGACAAATTATTTTGTACACTGCAGGTACCACAAAGAAATTGGATCTGCATTACTATGAAAATTCCAATGCCATGATAATCCATACCACCAGTATAGCAGCAACTCTAATGGCCCCCCTATTGTCATACTAATGCAGGCTGACCAGTCTTTTCACAGTGATTAAATGCAATTCTAGCACTGTTTTCTTAAAAGGTTTCTGATTTTTTGGAGGGGAGGAGGAAAATTAAAAGACATTCAAAATACATCTTATCAAAGAAATTTATGATAATATACACCATACTCTATTCTTGGAAATTATTTAACAAAATAAAAATATCAGCTACCCTAAATGTCACGTACCATTCCATTTTGCTATGGAGCTAATGCAAACATCTATGAAAATTACTTTCTGGGAACAATTTTCAATACTTTGTTCACTGATTACCCTGCTCAGCATTATTTAGGAAAGAAGAGGAAGAGGAAAAAATATACATATATATATATATATATACACACACACACACACACACACACACATATATATGTATATATATGTATATATAATTACTATACTTAGTATAGTTTTGGTTTACAAAAAGCAAAACACACAAAAAATCACCTTTAGCAAAATTAAAAATTAAAAGATAATCAACTGGAGAAACAAATAAGCTAGTTTGGATGACTGAGTTTGGATAAGGACTTAGAAGCCATAGTTTTAATTCAGTAATGTTAAGATATATATGGTCACACTTATTTTCCTGTAATTATTGCTAATACTCAAGTGTTAGTATTTCTTAAGAATCCACTATAAAATATGAAATTCCACCCTCCCACCCCCCGCCAAGTACCTTGTCTGTGGCTTTATGGTATCAAGTCACTGAGGCTTGACCTCTATGGTTGGTTTGGTTTTGTAAGGTTAGAAAAAAGGCCACAGCTAAAAGATTAAACATACTGGGGTTATAATATTATTTCTCTCATAAACTTCTATCTTGAAAAGTGTATTAAATAGGACTAACACTTTACTCTGTAGGATGAAGAAGGGAAAACCACAGAAGACAGAGCTCTGTGCAAATGGCTTTCATCGCTGGCCAGTAGTAGCAGTATTCAAGAATTCATCCTCTCTGGCCGGGCGCGGTGGCTCAAGCCTGTAATCCCAGCACTTTGGGAGGCCAAGGCGGGTGGATCACGAGGTCAACAGATCGAGACCATCCTGGTCAACATGGTGAAACCCCGTCTCTACTAAAAATACAAAAAAAATTAGCTGGGCATGGGGACGCGTGCCTGTAATCCCAGCTACTCAGGAGGCTAAGGGAGAATTGCCTGAACCCAGGAGGTGGAGGTTGCGGTGAGCTGAGATTGCGCCATTGCACTCCAGCCTGGGTAACAAGAGCAAAACTCCGTCTCAAAAAAAAAAAAAAAAAAAGAAAAGAATTCATCCTCTCTTACAATTGAGATGTTCTCAGTTAAAGTTTACTGACCTCCCATTTTCTTTGCAGTTGTTCTGAACACTTACACATACCAGATACGCGCCAAAAGTAGAAGAAAAAAAAGTTAAAGAAAAGGCAGCATTAAATTTAGGCAATGCTTCCAAAGTTGATCATCTGGCAACATGGCAAACCGGATGGGTTCATTATAAAACAGGAAGTGCAGCATTACAACATGGGGGGATGGGGCAAGGCCAGGGAAGGGGTCACTAGTGAAGAGCCCATGTTAAGTTGATTTAAAAAAAGAAAGCAAGCTAGCTTCACACGATCTTCTTAATGCTATTACGTTTGAAACTGCCAGCGCTTCTTTGCTTCTGCACTTGGCTTGCGGATCCGTGGCGAGTTCGTCCACTGTTACAATGGCCAGTGGTAGGGGAGAGTTCAATATTCTCCTTGTCGATTCCTGGAGAAAAACAGAACAGTTACTTACTCTCTTCCTTCTGGGACTGAATTTCATTACAGACATGTGTCGCTTAACAACGGGGATATGTTCTAGGAAACAACTGTCATTAGGCAATTTTGTCTGTGCAAATATTGTGGAGTGTACTTACATGAACTTGCATGGCATAGCCTACTACACACCAAGGCTATATGGTATAGCCTATTTCTCCCAGGCTACAAACCTCTTCAGCACGTTACCATACTGTGTACTGTATGCAGCTGTAACACAATGGTATTTGTATATCTAAACATAGAAAAGGTACAGCAAAAATCTGGTATTATAATCTTACAGGACCACTGCCTATATGTATATGTGGTCTGTTGTTGACTGCAATGTTGTTTTTCGGCATGTGCCTATATTTGTGATGAGATACAACCTGGCAAATTGCTTATGCACATTTCATTTTAATAGTCAATTGTTAGATTGTTTATTAAGGTAATGTCACATGGAAAACCACATTTTGTTAGGCAAAATTTGCTGTCATAGCAGAAAATAGCACAAGAAAAATGAAAAGAGAAGTTGCAAGGAAAAGCTAGAGGCAGGCAGGCTTGAACTAAATGAAAGGCTAGCAGCCACCAGGGAAGACTAGGGTTCCTCCCTCCAAATCATACCAGAAACTTCCAGCAGAGGTCAGCTTGTAGCCTCATTCATATCCTTATTCATGTTTATAAACAGAATATACTCTCCAGCAGCAGAAAGTACTGATCTTTCCAGCAAATTTGTCATTTCAAAGAAAACTCAGATGCTTTTTATTTTTTAATTACAGTGCCTGTCCCAAAGAAACTGTTTATTGAGAAAATAATATATCACACAAAGGTCATACTGTAGAATCTTTGCTTCTTTTCAACTAGGGCAAGTCATTTCACATTCTGCAACCTTCAACAGATGCTAGTTATTTCTCTCGAGGAGGAGACTAAACCTCCAAAAGCTGGGTCTAACAATGATTATTTATTAATTAATTTATTTATGTATTTATTTATTTAGAGACTGTCACCCAGGCTGGAGTGCAGTGGTGTGATCACAGCTCACTACAACCTTGAACTTCTGGGCTCAAGCCATCCTCTTGCCTCAGCCTTCCAAATAGCTAGGACTACAGGTGCATGCCACCATGCCCAGCTAATTTAAAAATTTTGTCTAGCAATTGGGTCTCACTATGTTACCCAGGCTTGAGCCACTGCACCCGATCCCAATGAATTTTATAAATAATCTAAGCAGTAACTTCAGAACATTAACCAGAAACTAAAGTAAGATTTTTTTTTTTAACCTATCGCATTAGGGAAGATTACAAATTGGGTAATAAGATGGTAGTTACCCTTGAGGAAGTAGTGACTTAAAGGGACATGAGGATGGCTTCTTTGGGTGCTGGTAATGTTCTGCTTCTTGATATAAATAATGGATTTTCAAGTGTGTTTACTTCTTAAAAGTTCATTAAGCTGTAAACTTACAATTTGTGTACTTTTCTGTTACACATCAATACAATTTACCTCTAACATTAGACTGATTAAACCTACTTCTGGCATAACTTTTGGTGGCAGACCAAACAGCTGCAGAGAGTTTTAGTAGTTTGCATCAAAATGTACCTTACTGATTGATATTTAATGATATAGAAAGATGACCATAATTTTTGGAGTAGGAAAAAAACACCCACACACTGGGGGGCCAGAGGGTAGGGCTGGGTAAACATTTGCCAAAACATTTTTTCTCTGTCAGAGGCCAAAGGACTAAAAAATATATATACTTTAAGTCTATATGGCAAGATTTCAGGTAATTTGGACTTTATTCTTATTTATATATTGATATTTTAAATTTTAGAATGGAAAAATTTCCATCTTTGGACAAAAAGTAGTATTTCAAGTCAAGAATTATTCATTATGTTACAGAAAACATACACAGATCCACCCAGTTAGTTATCTGTTGGCTCATGAACAGGAAATGAACTTGGGATGACCCCCCTCTACGAGCCACTCATCCTTCATTTGGATTCAGCACTGAATTCAACTCAAGAGTATCAGGCATCTATAAGCACATGGCCTAGTTTACCCAGGCTCAACAGAGATTTGCTGTCTTGAAAATCTGAAATGCTGTCAAAGGAATACAGGCATTTGTCAGCGATTGTTTATGAACATGTGCACTGCGTCAGGCATATGAGTGCAATGAAAAACATCAGCGACATTTCTTCAGAAAGCAAGCATAGCTGAACCACCACTGAAAATCTGTTCTATTCAAATCTTTAAAAATAAGCTTTTATTAAAATTTTTAAGGCTAGTCATGTTCTAATCTAATCATATGCATAGAAAGATGACTAGCAACATTCATAGAACTTTTCTCTGGGTAAAAAAATTCTGGTAAATTTAAATTCTCTTCTGTGTATTTATCTGCATCCTCTCCAGAGCTATTTACAAAAGAAATAGCAAAATTGAAAGAAAGCTGCTCATAATCTCTGGAATGTGCCTTGAACTTCTATGGGATGTATATCTGTGAAGGCTCTTTTAATTGTCTTGCCTCTCTCTACAAGATAAAATTCAACCCATATTTTTTTCTCATCTCCTTTTCCTTCATGATGCATTATAATCTCTTGTGAGAACTACTTTCTCCTTCCTTGCTTTTAAATTAACTTGCCTGTAATTCCACAACTTGTACATCCATCTCATTTCCTCTACTAAGTTACTAAGTATATCCTACTACCTAGAAGGGTAAAGATCATTATTATTCATTTTTGTTTTTCTATAAAATCTAGTTATTTTTTCAATGAATTGAAAACTTACTAAATGAAAGTTGCCAGGTTATTAAAAAAAAAAGAAAAATTATTTTCAATTAATACTGAACACTTCAATTTTAAAATGTGATAGCTAGATCCCTATAATTCAGAGCCCCAAAGCGTGCAATCCCTGATCTCCAGGGAGCGATATATTTTTAGTTGAAAAGACAGAACTTTTTGTTTTTCCCCTCTGGCATCCTCCATTTAAAATTATGAATGTGTCAGCATATTTGACCTTCCATTTCCTAAAATTTGCCTACAAGTTTCAAGTCCAGTAATTCTGTGTTCTTTCTTTAATAGGAAATAAGATTCAGGCAAAACCAGGACATTAAAAAGACAAAGGTTTAAAACACCTTGGAGCTGGCTCGCATGCAGGAGGGGCATGAAGCATGGATGACCACTAGGAAGGCCTTGTGGCTCTCTATCAGCAATCTGCTACCCTGGGGTTTGTTCTTGTGTGTCTTACTACTACTAGACCATGGCCTACTCTTAGGGGACAACAGTCATTAGACAGGTGGCAATGCTTCTGTTTGGGCACAAGGGCCTGCTTCCTGAGAATTTAAATTACATAAATTGTAGTAATGTAGATGAAGTCACTAGGGTGAAGTATCTTAAAGAAGTGCTAAGAACATTCCACTTTCTGTTTTGTGAAGCAAGTAACCCTCAAACCTCAGTTTTAAAGGCCTAATCTCCTGTTAAATGTTGAGGGTACAAAACAAGCTATAAAGCTGTTCACATACTATGACCTCAAGTATGTAAAGAAACTGGAAAGAAATGCATCAAAATGTTAATAAACAGTGGTTATCTATCTTAGAAATGATACGATTGTAATTTTTTCCTTTTTTTGGAATTTTCCAATTTTTTTCCTAATGAGCACATTAATTAAAAATATAAAGTATAGTGACTTGTCGGCCCTGTCACTTATTTTTTTTTTTAATTTTTAAATTTAATTTTATTTTTTTTTGAGACGGAGTTTCACTCTTATTACCCAGGCTGGAGTACAATGGCGCGATCTCGGCTCATCGCAACTTCCACCTCCTGGGATCAGGCAATTCTCCTGCCTCAGCCTCCTGAGTAGCTGGGATTACAGGCACGCGCCCCCATGCCCAGCTAATTTTTTGTATTTTTAGTAGAGATGGGGTTTCACCGTGTTGACCAGGATGGTCTCGATCTCTTGACCTTGTGATCCACCCACCTCTGCCTCCCAAAGTGCTGGGATTACAGGCTTGAGCCACCGCGCCCAGCCCGGCCCTGTCACTTATAACCAAAAGCTTCAACACTATATCAAATGTTGATATTATACTTCTATTCTCAGATTCATTTTTCATCTCAATTCTTGTTTTTGGAATGTGTGTTTTCTTCCTACCTAGTGACCAAATTGTATAAATCACACATAGGTAAATGTGGTGTGACTGTGATTCTTAAGTTCAACTTCACAGCAAAGATATTTTACTGTAAGGATAAAAGGAGAAACTAACAAAAATCTTGCAAAGTAAAAAAAATTAAAATGCATTGGCGGGGGAGCTGGGGAGGGATAGCATGGGGAGAAATGCCAAATGTGGGTGAGGGGGAGGAAGGCAGCAAAACACACTGCCACGTGTGTACCCATGCAACTATCTTGCATGTTCTGCACATGTACCCCAAAACCTAAAATGCAATTTAAAATAAATAAATAAATAAAAAATTAAAATGCATTATATTGACACCAAAATATATGTTGAAAAAATATATCTTGAAAAAGCCAAGGTAGTATGAAAGAGAATAATCATAGTATTTAGTTCTGGCATTTAAGTTTCTAAGTGTAATTAACACTTCTAAGAATTCTGGTAGCATTCTTTCTTTTTATGATCTAGAATTAAATCTAGAAATCTCTTTATGAGCTGGTGAAGGATTTTGCTTCAATGTCCCATAGGAAAAACTCTCAGATTATCCAACAGATTGTTCCACTGCAGACAGAACACATCCTGCATAAAACACGGTACATGCCATATTTTAAGTTAGGGAGAAGGCCTTGGGGTTGCACTTCTTTTCATTACAGAGCCTTTAAAGTTTTGCATTCTGGTCTCTCTTTTGCCCCTGAAGCATTGGTTCCCTCTTCTGGCCTTTGGTGGACACAAAAAGAGAAAACTACAAAGTGACTGACAGAAACCTAGAGGCCACCGCCCAAAGGAAATACAGCTGAAACTTCTGTGGTCCTGAGTAGCTAGTTTAAATGACCCCACAGATACGCTGTAGTCAAACATGCAGCAGGTTACAAACATGCATAGCAGAAACAGCTGGACATTCTCTACAGCAGTGTATCAGTAGTATTATGTTTCAATAAATTGTGGTGGTTCCCAATAAAGACAAAATCCAAAATAGAAGGTGTTACTGGTCAAAATTTAGTGAATTTGAGTAGCTAGGGAAAATGATTAGGTTACATTATTGTTATTGAAGTTATATGTCTATCTCCCCTGCTTAAAGGCAGGTATCAGGGTTTGTGTATTTTTTTTTTTTTTTAGATTGAGTTTCACTCTGGTTGCCCAGGTTGGAGTGCAATGTCGTGATCTTGGCTCAGCCTCTGCCTCCCAAGTTCAAGTGATTCTCTCACCTAAGCCTCCCCAGTAGCTGGGATTACAGGTATGTGCCACCACACCCGGCTAATTTTGTATTTTTAGTAGAAACAGGGTTTCTCCATGTTGGTCAGGCTAGTCTCAAACCCCTGACCTCAGGGGATCCTCCCACCTCAGCCTCCCAAAAAATGCCGGGATTACAGGTGTGAGCCACTGCACCAGGACCAGAGTTTGAGTATTTTTACAACTACTGATGTAGCTCCAGCCTGACAATTTTTTAGTCACCTATTTTTTAAAAACACTTTTGGTTTCCCAAACTGAAATAATCAGTTACAACAGTATCATGAAATAATAAAAGAACTGAATCACTTTTAACTCTTGGAAACCTAAAGAAAAATGTGTTAGGTTATTTGTGAGAAGTTATACTAAAAAAATGACAGACTAATAACCTGAATCTCCCGCCACCTGTGCAGGAGGACTAGTAGGTTACCAGACTCTGCATTTAGTTTACTTCATATGCCATATGGCAAACTTATTAGAAAACTATTATTACACACAGGAGAAGTCAAACAAGTCAGAAGACCCAAATTTGAGGACTGTCTGGCTCAGTACTCTTTAGTTCTAATTCTTAATCTGGCAATTAAGGATAACAGCAGGCTTGTCTATTTCAAAGGGTTGTTAGATAAAATAACCTATGTGAAGAATTTTTGTACACAGATAAAATAATTACTCCACAAATTAAGATGCTCCTAATATCTGAAGTAAAAGACCAGGTGATACACTGAAAGGAGTTTTAGAACAAATACTAGGACTTTAATTTTATGCTAGAATATGTAAAATTAGTGAAGCTAATATAAATAAGCACAAAATAGAATAAATCTTCTTAGAAGAACAGATAGCTACAGCTTGTTTTTAAGCTAATACATTCATGGAGGCATATTAAACATATACTTAGGAATATTTTTATTTTGAGCTAAATATACGAAATTGTAACTATACAAATTTTTGGCTGGGTACAGTGGCTCATGCCTGTAATCCCAGCACTTTGAGAGGCCAAGGAAGGCAGATCACTTGAGGTCAGGAGTTTGAGACCAGCCTGGCCAACATGATGAAACCCTGTCTCTACTGAAAATATAAAAAAAAATTATCCAGGCTTGGCAGAGCACACCTGTAATTCCAGCTACTCAGGAGGGTGAGGCAAGAGAATTGCTTGAACCTGGGAGGTGGAGGCTGCAGTGAGCTGAGATCATACCACTGTACTCCACTGTACTTCTTTTTCTGTTTAGGTGTAATCTTTTTGTATAATAATTACAGGTCAATAAAAGAAAAGGCATCTTTCATAAATTGGACATAAATATGTCAAATTTTTCTTCTTAGTCCTTACAGCTAATGATCATATTCCTTTTTTTTTTTTTTTTTTGAGACAGCCTTGCTCTGTCACTCAGGCTGGAGTGCAGTGGTGCAATCTCTTGGCTTATCACAGCCTCAACCTCCCACCTCAGCCCTGTGAAGAGCTTTTTGTATTTTTTGTAGAGAGAAGGTTTGTCCACATTATCCAGGGTGGTCTTGAACTCCTAGACTCAAGTGATCTGCCTGCCTTGGCCTCCCAAAGTGCTAGGATTACAGGTGTGAGCCATTGCACCTGGTCATATTCCTTTTTTTAACCTCAGGTGATTGAGTAGACAGCCAGCTTTAATTTCTAAGGAAACACTGGGGTTGGCTTTCTATTTGGGGAAAACAAGTTATTTTCTAAGCTAAAAAAAAACTTCATCAAGCCACATATTCTGTTTTTTCTATTAACTCTCTCTTGAGTTTCTTATTAACCTGCCTTTGTTAGTCCAGGTCTGGGATCACATCTTCATTGTTCAGGGTATCAGCAGCTCCTTAACCGAGATAGGCCACAGGCTGCCCCTGCAATGCCAGTAAGTACCAAGACCTTATAAAGTGGTGGCTTTGCAAGTTCCTCAAGTGCCTAAGCCAGACTGAGCTTACAGGGACTGGTGAGTAAAGTCTCATGCTATGTGCCCAGGATGAGTGTGGGGTAAGCAGTATTTCGTGCAAAGATGATGAAAGTAAAGAGTACCTTGATGAGGGAACAGCTGCATGAAAACTGCTGATTTAGAGCAAGGCAGAGAAGCTTTACAAAGAATGGAAGAAAAAAACAAGTGAGTGATGTCCATAAGATTAAAAAAAGGGTGAAATACAATTAGACACTAGATAATTATAATGTTCTTTGGTTTTCAGAAGGAATCTGGTTTTAATTATTGAACTCTGACCATTAATTTCCTAAATATTATAACTTGTAAATAAATGATAGAACTTACAATTTTGTAGATGTAATTTTTACCACCTATATTAAAATTAAGAATTTTAGTTTAAATTAAGAATTAAGCTAAAAATTAATTTAAAAATTAGCAAGAATTATACCAAGTAATTGCTCAATTTAAAATTATTTTTCTCCCTTAAACACAGGATAATAACAAAGAAAAAGAAAACAAATCAAGAAAAAAAAAGGTCAGATGATACCATAAACAATTCTCTAAAACATTAAAATCATTTCAGAGATCTTAAGTGGCTTCAAAGTAGAGACTGAGGTTTCTTCTAAGAGGAAGATATTTCTTTTCTCTCTTTTGAAAAGACAGGGGTTTCATGATGTTGCCCAGGCTGGACTTGAACTCTTGGGCTCAAGCAATCCTCCTACCTCAGCCTCCCTAGTAGCTGGGACCACAAGCATGTGCCACTATGCCCAGGTAAGAGGGAGCTATTTCAAATGTAGTAAACAGAAGGAGTATTACTGACTCAGGGCTAAGTCTAAGTTTAGAGAAATGGTTTTGATAAAATATCCCTCCATACACAGAGCCATCCAGCATTACTGGTTTAGGAATGTTATGATCACTACCTGATCTAGCCAGCTTCTCAGGGAGAAGGCCTACATTACAGAAGCAAAGTGAGAGAATGACTGGTAGGCTTGGACGAAGCCCAAAAATAAAAGTGGAAGAAGGAAATCTAAAAGATGAACTGGCCAGGTGTGGTGGCTCATGCCTGTAATCCCAGCACTTTGGGAGGCCAAGGCAGGCAGATCATTAGGTTAAGAGATCAAGACCATCCTGGCCAACATGGTGAAACCCCATCTCTACTAAAAATTAGCAGGGTGTGGTGGTGTGTGCCTGTAATCCCAGCTACTTGGGAGGCTGAGGCAGGAGAACTGCTTGGAACTGGGAGGTGGGGGTTGCAGTGAGCTGAGATTGTGCCATGGCACTCCAGCCTGGAGACAGAGTGAGCCTCTGTCTCCAGACAAAAAAGGATGAACTAACTGTGTTCTAAAAAATTCATGCTCCAGTACTAATAGTAAAATCAGCTGATTAAACAAATAAAAAAGTTAAAGCCTTTTTGCTAGTTAAAAAAAAAAACGTTTAAGTAGATCACAAGTTTGTTTTGTTTAAAAAATTTGAGGCAAAAAAATGTGTTACAAAACTTTTGCCATAATTATTACATGATCCTTCCACACAAATGTCCCTTTGAACTATCAGAATACTACACAGTACAAGGTACAACATGACAGATATCACAACAGAGGTCAAAATAGTTATCTATGTACATTCTACCGTCCGTTCTGATCTGAAAGCTACTGAAGGCAGGTATCATGCCCTGGTAGGCCCTCTGCTCCCGTGGGTCTAAGAGCCCCTTGCATATAGTAAACAACATATATATGGAGGATAAATATCTGGAATTCTGGTTATTTTCTCCAGAGCACTATGTTATTAATGTTGCATTTTTTTTAAAAAAGGTATACACTTAGAATTTGTTAAAAAACACGGATGGGAAGGAAATAAAGGTTTTATTAGCTTAAAACCTAATACTAGATCCAAGGATTCTAATATACGCCTACCAAACACCTAGAAAATAGGTATTCAAATGTTTATTGAATTAAATTACCATGTGAAGAATATCAGGAGACCCTGACAAAGTATAAATTAAATTTTAATACTTTGGAAATGGATCCTATTTAATTCATTTTCTTTCTTTTTTTTTTTTTTTTTTTTTGAGACTATGTTTCAATCTGTCACCCAGGCTGGAGTTCAGTGGAATGATCACAGCTCACCACAGCCTTGACCTGTCGGGCTCAGGTGATCCTCCCACCTCAGCCCCCCAAGTAGCTGAGACTATAAGGGCACGCCACCACACGTGGCTAATTTTTCTATCTTTTATAGAGATGGGGTTTCATCATGTTGCCCAGGCTGGTCTCAAGCAATTCATCTGCCCCGGCCTTCCAAAATGCTGGGATTAAAGACGTGAGCCACCGCCCTCGGCCTGGGTTTCATTTTGTAGTTCTAATCCTGGTTCTTCAATTCATGTCCAGCTCAGCTAGACCGGACCTAGTAAGATCAAAATATCACACCTGAAATATTCTTATATATCATAAGGTAAAGGGATTCTCTTTGGGATGTTCTTCTTAGCATTTGAGAAAATCCTAAGAGCCAAAGTCTTATGTCCACTTGGCTAAAGGGTCATAGTTAATGCAATTCTATATGCACTGAATCCCAGGTACAGTCATAGGCTCCACTAATGCCAAATTATGCCAAATTCTATTTCTTTCTTTCTTTTTTTTTGAGACGGAGTTTTGCTCTTGTTACCCAGGCTGGAGTGCAATGGCGGATATCTTGGCTCACCGCAAGGCTCTGCCTCCTGGGTTCAGACGATTCTCTTGCCTCAGCCCCCCGAGTAGCTGGGATTACAGGCCCATGCCACCATGCCCAGTTAGTTTTTTATATTTTTAGTAGAGACAGGGTTTCACCATGTTGACCAGGAGGGTCTTAATCTCTTGACCTCGTGATCGACCCGCCTCTGCCTCCCAAAGTGCTGGGATTACAGGCTTGAGCTACCGCGCCCGGCTGCCAAATTCTATTTCTACTAGGGAGGGATTCAGAAGGCAATCATTTAGGTACTTTTATATGTGAACTTGTAAAACAATCCCCCTTAGGATAGACAATTAGGCTAAGCTAATTTGTCAAGAATGCATTTTCAGAGACAATTGCTTTAAGTAAGTGACTGCCACTTCTCCTCAAAGCTGGTAACTAATGAAAAAACCACCAAAAATTTTTATTTAAGTAAGGCGTAATACTGGGGCAGGAGTAGAAGGATGAGGTTCATGAATCTCTTATTTTATTGGTTTGCTAGCAGAGAATGTTGAACAAAAGAAAATACAGCTTTGCTAGCAGAGAATGTTGAACAAAAGAAAATACAGCTTAGTAGCTGATCCTGCTAAACACCAAAGATCTAGAATGAAGAGTTTTGCATTTACATGAAACATTTGCAGCAAAGGATTGAATGTGTGCAAATCAGCAACATTTGCTCTTTGAAATAGGGCAGTGGAACCTTCATCTGATTAAATCTCAGGAGAATGGGTGCAGGTTGATGTTGGGTAATTTGATGGTAAATCAAATTTATGCTCTATATCAGGAAGTGACAAAGAATTTCTTTTTTTTGCAGGGGGAGGGGGAATGAAATCTTGCTCTGTTGAACAGGCTGGAGTGCAGTGGTGCGATCTTGGCTCAATGCAACCCCTGGCTCCCAGGTTCAAGCAATTTCCTACCTCAGCCTCCTGAGTAGTTGGGATTATAGGCGTGAGCCACCGTACCGGGCCCAAAGAACCTTTGAATAGTACTGCTTGAGACTTGGCTGCTGGGAATGGAGATAAGGAAATGCTTTGGTTTCTATACAGCTAAACGGTAAAGTTGAAACACCAGACAGAGTTAGGAATCTGGACAACTTTCTTTTGTTTTTTTTTTTTTTTTTGATATAAGCAAACTCAGCGCCATGGCTGAGTACCATGGCTCATGCCTGTAATTCTAGCACTTTGGGAGGCAGAGGTGGGTGGATCACCTGAGGTCAGGAGTTTAAGACAAGCCTGGCCAACATGGGGAAACCCCGTCTCTACTAAAAATACAAAAATTAGCCAGATGTGGTGGCATGCATCTGTAATCCCAGCTACTTGGGAGGCTGAGAGAGGAGAATCGCTTGAACTGAGGAGGTGGAGTCTGCAGTGAGCTGAGATTGCACCACTGCACTCCAGCTTGGGTAACAGAGCAAGACTCTCTCTCCGGAAAAAAAAATGAGATAAGGATATAAGATTACATGGAGCTAAAGATATGAAGCAATACAACTAATTATAAACAAAAGATCAACTCTTACCATTAAGAGTTATTCTGTAAGAGCAAATGACAAAAACACAGTGATTGAGTATATAAATTGGGTTCCTTTTCTGAACATGAAACTACAATTTAGATATATAAATGGGTTTTGTGGGAGAGTAAGGTTACTTTTGAAAAGATAAACCCTTTCTCTGAAAACATGTAGTAAAATGATCTGGCAAACCAATGACATACAATTGAGTGATAGGAAGAGTTGAATACCATGATTCCACTTAATTCTACTACTTTTAAACCACCTCATCTCTTCTGTGAATAGTCAGAGGTTCCCAAGGTGTAACAGTCTATTTATTCAGGCACCATCTTTGGAGAACTACTAGAGATAACACCATTAATATGAAACTGGAACCAAAGCTATAAAACCTATTCTGATTTTAATAAACAATTCTAAGTAAGAAGTCGTAGAGTAAGACTGTTATATCAAAGCAAATGATTTGGCAAATATCCAATCAACACTGGACACAAGCAAATAATCAACTAGCAGAGAAACCTGTAATGGTTCCTTATTCTCAACCAGATTATTTTATTGTCTCCATTAATGGGCAAAGATAGACAGAAATCTCCCTGTTAATGACAGGGTTAAAAAAGTCAATAAAAAGACTAGTCATTTTTGACATGTTTAACACCACTTTAGTAGCCCAAAAGGCAAAACCAGACTTTAAAAACTGGAGGACCAATGTAAACAGAATCCATGAATTTTCTAATTTTGTAGACTTTTCAACTGTTGTTCAACAAATAACTTAGAAAATAGTCCCATGGAAAAAAAGAACTGGTGGGTTTAAGGCAAGGCAGACAGAAGTAATGAGTTAACAATAAACAAACAAACAAAAGAAAATAGAGAAGGGGAAAGCAAAGTACATAGATAATGAGACAGACAACAGACATGGGAGGCAATGAATGTGATACAAAGAACCTGGCCTTGGTTCTAGATAAGAACTGTATAAAGCAGTTAACCTAGCTCTTCTAAAACAGTCTCACCAATGTACATAACATTGTGAGCCTAAAACTAAATTACCTGTATGGTTCCCTAGCTCCAAAATGCCACAGAGTTTATCAGCAGGGAAGCAGGAAGGAAAGAATTCAGCGGCTGCATTATTTGCAAAAATGGAAATTTTAAGTTTTGCGCTGGCCTTCATAGCTGAAATGCTGATAATGGGCAAGACCAGAGGCAGCCCCTAGGGCAGTGCTTCTCTAAATCTAGTGTGCGTAAGAATCACCGGGGTGTTCATTAATATACTGACTGCTGGCTGGGCTCCCCTTGGAGTTTTTCTGTGCAGGTCTGAGGTGAAACTCCAGCATCTGCATTTCTAACAAGCTCCGAAATGCAAAATGCAGTCTGGGATCACACTTGGAGAAACACTGTACTAGAGTGTTAGTGACAGAGGGCAAACAAACATTGTTATATGAGGGAAAAAAGACAGACATCTTTTATTTCTGGGGGGAATAAGGATTACTTTATATTACTTACTTCTGGGGGAAAAAAAGGATTACATTTTTTCTCAAGCAATCCACCTGCCTTGGCTTGACAAATGTTGAAATAAAATTTGTTTCCTCTGCTGACCAAAGCTTTGTTGTTAACCAAAATTTAATAGTATAATATAGTTAATTACATAATAATTTATAAAATGAATTGCCAAATTCTTCAGAACCTTCAAAACTACACAAATTGAAATGTTCATGTAGAACTGGGAACATAAACTGGGAATTCTATTTACTGATCTTGAATATCACAGAATAGTTATGTCATTTGATTTTTTTTAAATCTATGCTAACACTTTAAAGAACTATATATAGTAATTTTTCCTTATAGAATGATGTGTTTCATAAGTGAACTTTTAGGATAATGGAACTTTAAATAATTAAAGTTTATTTTGACCATTTTAGAAGAATATCTTTCTAAATAGAAAACACAATCCTAACAAAAGCTTTCCTTCATTACTCACTGTCATCATAACACACACAACAGTGTAAGTTCTACAATGAATAGCACCTCCTGGGTCAACCAGAATTGTATGAAACCTTTCACTCTGACACTCAGTGAGTCCAGAGTTCTGTAGGTTTGTCATTTCTGCCATCTTGTTTATCTCAGTCCCACCTGAGCTAATAGCTATTAGTATTTCTCAGTGTATTCAAATCTAAGTTGCATTATGAATTGGTATACTTTTCCCATTTGAACCTAACAGTGACTCTACAGTAAGGAATATAAGGGCTTTAAGATGTTATTTCTTGAGGTGACTTTTTTGTTTGATTATTTACTTTCGGATTTTTAGGATGGTTTATGGATATTATTGCTGGTAGCAGGAAAGTGAGGTAGATTAGATTTTGTGTTTCTTCTTTTTTTTTTTTGATACAGTATGCTATATCAGAGACAAGAGGAAAGAGGCCTTTAGAGCAATGTTAGTATATCTAGTAAAGGAATTATAGTTGTGTTCACTTAAACAATACTGTGATTTAAGTTGCTCTTCTTGCCCAAACTCTAGAAACTTGTCAACCTTGGAATATCATGTGGACATTTTACCATTTTACTGTCTTATGTACAACTTGTTTAAAAGCAGAAAGCTTAACAGAGCAAGAAAAGTCAAGTCAGCTACAAGGTAAAGAAGAAATGAAAGGTGAATCTCATATGAAAAAGGAGCAAAATCTGCTATAAACTGATCAGAAGGGAATTCCTAATGTTGGTGTCTTATTGTTCAAGGTCACATAAAGATCACATTTACTGACCTGGGGAATGCTGGGAAGTTGCAAGTGAGGTCATGGAATTAGAGAGGTTAAGGTTGGCAGTGATACTAAGCTGGCTCTGCAATGCAGGAGGGTAAGGAGATGTGGGTGTCAGGAGGGATTCTTCACTGGTTTCTTCATCAATTCCAGGCAGGTACGTGTCAATCAAGGCATCAAGAAACTTAACAATAAGTTCAGCATAGTCTGGAATTTGTGTTTGCTGTAAAGGAAAATAGGAAATTATTTTAACTCCTTTTTTTGTTTTTAAGTAAATCCCCACCTGAAGCCAAAATATATTAATTTTGTTTAGACTTAATTTACTATTTTCCTTCCTTTGTATTACTTATCATTAAAAAAGGGGAGTGGAGTAATATTTATAGACTACCACAGGACTTACAATAGGGAGTTCTATTCAGCTTACACTTAAAGCTTCAAGATGAACCCGCATTTTCTGAAAGCCATGCACAAGACAGACTGAATTTAATACTGAGACAATACAATCATCAGAAATGATGTCTAGCCAATTTTCCAAAACAGAGAAAATGAGCAGAGCATCATCATTCCAGCTGCCATTTAGATTCTACTCATTAGATGCCGTAAAGGGCTCAGAGACTTACTGCAATCCAAATGCAAAAACTGCTGTATAATATACTTATTTCTATAACTTAAGGCCCACTTTTTAAGTGACAACCTTTGCATGTCAATAGATATTCAGTAATAGTAAAAGGAAATAAATGAAATACTCAATTCTTAAAAACTGGAACAATTCATATTGATTTAGCACCCCCTGTATCTAAAACACTACACTAAGAACTGTTCAAGGAAGAAACAGAAATCCTACCTTCAAGGAACTTTGATCAATTGGAAAGAGACCACATACAGAGAAAATGATTAAACACATATTATGTAGCACTACATCAACTAATGCCAATCAAAAAACAAACTAAGGCCAGGTGCAGTGGCTCTCGCCTGTAATCCCAGCACTTTGGGAGGCAGAGGCAGGCAGATCACGTGGTCAAGAGATCAAGACCATCTTGGCTAACATGTGAAACCCTGTCTCTACTAAAAATACAAAATTAACTGGGCATGGTGGCGCACATCTGAAGTCCTAGCTACCTGGGAGGCTGAGACAGGAGAACTGCTTGAACCCGGGAGGTGGAGGTTGCAATGAACCAAGATTGCATCACTGCACTTCAGCCTGGCGACAGAGTGAGACCCTGTCTCCCCCAAAAAACCCCCCAAAAACCAAAAAACTGAATAGAAGCAAAATGAGGACAAATGCAGAGAGGAATGAATCTAATCTAATAGGTTGGAAATAAAAATGCTTTCATGAAGTAGATTTTAACCATGGTAATGCTCCTTGCTAGTCATATTTAATTGTGTGCATTAAGATGATCAAATACACAGGGACTGAGGCAGAAAAGTATCACAGAGGTTTATCATACTCTTCTGAAAAGTAGAGCATAAGCTGAGTTTGTAAAAGTGAATACACACACACACTCACACCATGCTGCCTCCTGGAACAAAACCTTGTGACAAGAAAGTTTCAAAAGTTCACATTTGAAACTTTTCATAAGTTTCAAAAAGTAATATATGTGTTTATCATGAGTTATTATTCTGGTTTTCAGCATATTGTGTGTTCTTAAAACAGGCATACTAATTTGAACAGAAACCTTCATTTTACCAAAAGTTAGAGAAAAATATATTTTCTTACCTTTGAAAAGGGTCCTGCAAACCGCCACAAGCCATTAAAACCAAAACCTGCAACAAATCAAATGTTACTCTTATAACAAGCAGGATATCTTTTAATTGTAACAGAAGTTAAATAAGTTGTATTGTTGATGATATATAAACCCTATGTACATGTTGAAAACATGTTTTTAGAAGGAGTGTCAAAGAGACTAAAATCTACTTAAAATATATTCAATATAAAACCACATTTTAATTTAAAAGGTTGTTGACCAGTTACATCAAACATACAATTGAGAGAGTCGAAAAATTGAATATGGAAATAAAAGTATGAACAAGTCTATCCCTTATAAAGAATTCTGTAGCCAGTGCATTCTACAACCGTGTGCATGTTAGCAAGTTCATCAACCATCCTTCTCCAGATACATTTATTTACTTTGCAGGTAAGATGTTTGGTATTGTGGTGGGGATTCTTCATGGTATACCACACTCTGCACAATTCCATGGATCGGATTTAACAAATTTGGATCTTGGCACAATGATAACAGGGTGTTGATCTTAGAGTCCAACAAATTATGCCTAAAAAAAAAAAAAATCAACAGAAGAACGTTTTAGAGGAAAATTAAATGAAAATATGCAGTGGAAAACATAATACACATTCGAAGGGAGATGAGCACTTTTTACTTTCTGAGGTATTTCTACACTTTCCAAATTTTCTACAATGAACGTGTGTGTGTGTGTGTGTGTGTGTGTGTGTGTGTGTGTGTCTGTTTTTGTCTGTCTTTTGTTTTAGTCACCAGGGAAAAATGGTGAAAACTAACAACTGGTAGTGTCACATAACCATGTATAACCATATATGGTAAATGTTTGCCTAGAACAAGGTTGGCTCTGTCTGCTACTTAGCATTTAGTACTATTTCCATCTGTTGTATGCTGACACGCACTTAGGAATTAAAACTAAATTTAGGATCTGTGCAAAAGAAAAAGAAAAAATTAAATTTAATGTTAATCAGTTCTTTTAAAATGCTGAGTCAGATCAAATAGAGAAAGCAAAATTAGTTTAGAGGGGGTGAAATACATGATCCAACTGAAACTTAGGAAAGAAATTATTTCTAACCTGGCTACACTCTGTTAATAAAAACAACCGAGTCCTAACTCTCTAATATTCTACCATGAGATTAAAAAAAAAAGAAGAAGAAAATAATGACACGATATAGAAGGCCTAGATCAGGACTAGAATTTCTCTGAGCTATTTAAATTTGAACACTTTGAGGTTATTATTCTTTAATCCTTAAGAGATAATAAAAATTTACCTCATAAATAGAAGGTCAATTTTGTTTTCACTCAGCTGTGGATAAACACAAAAGCTCTACTAGAAAGCAAACCAAAACAGGTATGCTGATTTAGATAAACCAGTCTAATGGTTTGCTTCTAAGTGAAGAAAATGAGCAATGATCATCAAAAATTAAACCACTTAACCAGATTTTTAAAAAAAGTCTTTCCTTATAAACTTTCTAATAGATCTAATAGGTCAACACTAATCTTAGCCCTCATTAAACCTACTGTCTCTCAAAACCTAAAATCACTATCACAGTTATCTCATTTTGCCCTCTTTGCAACCAGTACACATTACCAGGTAATATTTTTCCTAAGCCTTTATAAAGCATTTGACTTAAAGACAGGCACGAAAGTTAATTAAAACCAAAATGAGATACTTACACAACAGGAAAGACTTTGGGAAACACAACACTGGCTTCTGCTAAGTATTCATAAAGAATTCGTTGATCAAACTCATCTGTGGTGTATTTTACCAGTGTAGCCTGCCAAGATGCAAAAAAGTAAACAAACAACATTTTTACTTTGTGGCTGAATTGTTATCTGTTTTTGTGAGAAGCAGAAGACTGTATCCTCTTCATGTTTTTAATATTTAAGGGCCTCCTAAAAGTAGACTGGAATAAAAATTTGAGGGTGGGAGACCCAGAAAGAGGAAATCCTTACTAGAACAGTAAGAAGCAGCGCTTGGATCTTCGGATCAGTAAGTACTTCTTCATCCAAGAGAACATTTGATTCGGACACTGAAACCTTACGTAAATGTGGGTGCTGTTGTGATGAGGAAATCCTCTGAGTTTCTGCAGTAAGATAGGGAATCAACATGATCAGCTGTATTAAACACCTGAATAATCACTTCACCTATTTCAATGTTACTTCTAAAATTCAATAGCTTTCTTTAGTAGACACTTAAGATAAACATCATACAGAATTACTATTCACCTATACAAAAATTTTGGCTACCTATTTACAATGCTGCATAAAATATATATGGTAAGTTTTACACAAGCTTCAAGATAACTGTTTTAAGAACAGTTATCTTTGAGAAATGACAAATGTTTCTATATTTCATCCTAAAGAGCCTAAGAAATGGCTGAAAAATAAACACGACTTTAATGGACTCTCCCACCTTATTTTCAATGACCTAGATCAATACTTTGTTTCTTACCCATTTCATAATCAGTTTCTGCTACCCTCCTCATTTTGGGGGGTGTGGTGATCCCCGATTCCATTTCTTGCCTTTTAGGAGCCTTTGTGTCTGATATTAAGTGATCAAAACTCTTCCTTGTTCCTATAAACAAAAGTTACAGAATATGGGAAGTTCATTAACCACAGTGTCTATAAATTGGAATATACTAAAAAAAAATTTGGATATGAAGTTTTCACTTATGACTCAAAGAAAGCTCTAATATACCCCTGGAGCAGAGTTTCTTTCCTTTATTCTACATCTTCTCAAAGGGTTTGGTTCCCACAGCTTTCTGTTTCAGGACAGGATGCACCTTACTGGTACAAATCTGAGATTATATTCTGTACACTGGAGGTAAATCAACAAATATGATAACTGGTAATAAATAACAAGGGTAGGCATTATTCAGTAGGAAAGGTCAACTATGTCTGACCAGTCTTTTCAGTTTAAGAAATGCTGCTGGTGCCAAGAACTACTCATTAATACATGAGGAATTTCCAAGCTTAGGAAAAAAACAGAGTTTGATTTTAATTTTTTAAGCTTTGAAAAAACAATATGCATGCCTGAAAATACTAAAAACCAGCTACATTGGGAGATGCTGCAAAAATAGAAAGTAGCATAATCTCCCACTTGGCTTTGAGTTTCTCTAATTACGTAATCATGTATTAACACTTAACCTTTTTTTTTTTTTTTTTTTGAAAGGGTCTCACTCTGTGGCTCAGGCTGGAGTGCAGTGGTGTGATCTCAGCTCACTGCAACCTCTGCATCCCAGGCTCAGGTGATCCTCCCACCTCAACCTCCCCAGTAACTGGGACTATAGGCATACACTACCATACCCAGCTAACTTTTCTATTTTTAGTAGAGACAGGCTTTCTCCATGTTGCCCAGGCTGGTCTCAAACTCTTGGGCTCAAGTGATCCACCCACCTTGGTCTCCGCAAACTGCTGGTATTACAGGCATGAGCCACCATGCTCGGCCAACAGTATTATTTTTTAAAAGCCAAAAATTAAAGCCAATATAATAAAATCTGACAACTGAACACTTGAGAAATACAAAGTTCTATTATTTCAAGAATTAATATGAATAACTATTCATCATAGTCATAAATACCAAGGCCAAATAATTAACAACCCAAAGGGATCTAGTCCAGCTTCTTTGTTTCACACACATGTACACTGATGAAGCCATAAACAGTTAAGTAATTAGTCTGAGGTAGTATGGCTAGGGATCTAGACAATAACCAGATGGAAAACTCAAGTTTTCTAAAACCAGTCAGTGCTTTCCATACTACATGAGACTGGGACACTACTTTCTACATTTAGTTTTCCTTTCTTTCTCACTCTTCCTTTTTATTTTATTCCCTGCATTATTCCTGGAAGATCTCACTTTGCTTAAATAGCTTCAACTATCTGTGAGTTAATAAATTCTAAATGTTTACTTGTTTACTTCTTTATTCCCAAATTCCAGGTACATCTTGTGGTTTATTTCTTAGATATACACTCCCAGATGTCTTGAAAATATTTCAAATATAATCAACTAACCTAAATTTATCATGTACTGTAAGCATATTAGTCCTGATTTCTATGAATGGAATCACTATTCAGCCAGTTTTTAAAACTAGAAACTTCTGACATCCTTCACAATCTTCTCCCCTTCCCTACCTGCAACTGTTGGTCGCTAAGTCATGTCCATTCTACTTCAGAAACCTATTCCAAACCTGATTTTTATTTTTTTGAGACAGGGTCTGACTGTGCTGCCCAGATCTGCCTCAAGCTATCCTCCTGCCTTGGCCTTCTGAGTTTCTGGGACTACAGGTATGCACCATTATGCCCAGCTTCAAATCTGCTGGGTCTTCTCTATTCTCCCATTGCTCCTGCCTTAGTACAGGGCCCATACCTTTTTTTTTTTTTTTGCTTGGACTACTATATCAACTTTATTAAATGGTTCCCTTGCTAAAAATCTCTTGCCATCTCTCCACACTGCTGCTAGAAAAACTTGGCAAAAATTAAAATTTGGTCATGTTCTTCCCCTATTTAAATATCTCAGCTGAATGCATAAGGTTAAATCTCTTACCATGGCACACAGTCATTTGCAATTGAGTTCTAATCCTTCTTCTCATCTCATTTCCTACCCCATTCCCCATGATGCTATGATGTATTGTCAGTTGCTTTCCTGCCTTTTCTTTACCTTTTCTTTATTCTTGCTATTCCCTGCTGCTCTTAAACATACACCCTTCCTTATCCTGTTGTCTATTTTGCAAGTATACATTAAATCTACAGGACACAGCTCAAATGTTATCTCCTCTCTGTAGGTTTTTTTTTCTTCTAATTTCCCCATATCTCTAAGTTTCCTCCATCAAGACATATTGTTTTAATGGCACCTGGAGTTGCTATTGTGATTGGCTCATTATAAGTCTTGGACACAAATTACAAACTCTTCCAGGGCAGTTACCACATCTTTTTCACTTAGTACATGGGTTCAATGAATTCAATACTATATTTTTCCCCATGTTTCTGAGGTTAGCTTTTCATTAACAATGGCGTTGGCATAAAAATTCAGAATTACAAAACACAAAGTTTTTTGTGTCTTGTAACTCCTAAAAGATTACTTATGGTGAGGTAATAATAGAAGGGAACTCAAACAACAGTAACACACTTATGTGGCTGGTAACCGTGACTGATATTCATCACGGCTTCTATTTTTTTTCTGGTTTACTGGCAGGTTGTTTATGTTACAATTTGTTGTTTGTTCACTAATTTCCTTATGAACACAAACATTTCTCCAATACCTAAAGATACTTAAATACGTTTGCATGGATAACTGAAATCTGTTGAACCACTCACAGTGTTGGCCACTGAAATGTAGTTCCCAATGTATTCCAGTAACAATTATAATTTTACCCAATGGGATACAAGAACATCACTGCATTTCCTCTAAGCAGCTATGTAAGATCAGTGTTCTTGTTTGTTTGTTTGTTTGTTTTGAGACAGGGTCTCACTCTGTTACCCAGGCTGGAGTGTAGTGGTGCAATCCTGACTCACTGCTACCCCCACCTCCTGGGCTCAAGTGATTCTCCTGAGTAGCTGGGACTACAGGTGCTCACCACCATGCCCAGCTAAGTTTTGTATTTTTTGGAGAGATGGGTTTTGCCATGTTGCCCAGGCTGGTCTTAAACTCCTGGACTCAAGCAGTCCTCCCACCTGAGTCCCCCAAAGTGCTGGAATTATAGGTATGAGCCACTGCACCTTGCCTAGTGGGTTTTTCATTCATTTACTTTCAGGTACTAAAATGGAAAAGAGTCTCAATAGCATTTTAGATGTACCTCTCAGAGACAATAATTCTATAAATGTTGATGTAACTGAGCAATCTTAATTTCAAGAATCCTATTCTCTGGGCGGGCATGGTGGCTTATGCCTATAATCTTAGCACTTTGGGAGGCGTAGGAGGGCAGATCACCTGAGGTCAGGAGTTTGAGACCAGCCTGGCCAACATGGGGAATCTGTTGAACCACTCACAGTGTTGGCCACTGAAATGTAGATCCCAATGTATTCCAGTAACAATTATAATTGTATTTTGTCTATTAAAAATACAAAAATTAGCTGGGCGTCGTGGCATGTACTTGCAATCCCAGCTACTAGGGAGGCAGGAGAACTGCTTGAATCCGGGAGGCAGAGGTTGCAGTGAGCCGGATTGCACCACTGCACTCCAGCCTGGGTGACAGAGCAAGACACTGTCTCAAAAAAAAAAAAAAAATCCTATTTTCTTTCAGTTATTGAAAAAACATATATCTTTCTGTCTTTTCAAAGACAGTGTGGCAAATAGTACTATTACAGCTTCATACAATATTCATGTCTTCTCGCAGATGATAACTTTGTGAAGTATTACAGGGTATCATTAAAGCCCTGGGTGCAGCAAGACTCTTCCTTTCTTACAGATATTTATCTACTGTGTTTCATGGTCCCATTCCCTGCTGGCCAGCCAAGGCAAAACAAAATAAGGAGAGTCACAATACTTATTCTAAGATTCAGAAAAAACTGTTTCAAGGTCCCATTCTCATTTCTGTATCTCAACTTACAATGCTTAATTGATCTATCCAACTCTTGTAAATGGCATCAAAAACTTTGTGACATTGAGACAGAAAATTTTGATAATCTTGAAATTTCAAATAATTTTTCAAGATGTCTATTTTTAAAAATAATAATAATAAAATCTAGATAATTTAGATAAACTAACCAAGCAACTTCTTAGTGTTGGCCTGAGAAGGCTGCCCCATGTCCAAGCTCATGGATTTCCTGGCTCGGGGACTGGTCTGGCCAACAGTTGGATAGGTGGCTGCAAGATACCCTTCAGAACCTTTGGGAGAGGACCATGGCTGATTCTCCTTTAGTGTCCTGAGAGATTAAAACAATAGAGAAAAATTAATTAACATGGTGACAAATAACCATTGTTTGCTCCTTCCAAGTGGCTGTCCTATTTCCTAACGACAGCAATTAATTAATTTTAAAACTGCACTTTAAAGGGCTTTAGGGTACAAACTCTTGATGCATCCCCAGGAATTATCAACTTTCTTGCCATAGTATCTTATACACAGTAGGTACTCACCAAAAGCTGAACAAAAACAACTGTACTGCAATTTTTAAAAGCTGACAAATAAAAAGGTATATATTAAGTATCCAGTCTTTAGCGTCCCTGGGCGATATTGAAAGAAGAATATGGCCAGGCGCAGTGGCTCATGCCTATAATCCCAGCACTTTGGGAGGCCGAGACGGGTGGATCATGAGGTCAAGAGATCGAGACCATCCTGGTCAATGAGGTGAAACCCTGTCTCTACTAAAAATACAAAAATTAGCTGGGCGTGGTGGCACATGCCTGTAATCCCAGCTACTCAGGAGGCTGAGGCAGGAGAATTGCTTGAACCCAGGAGGCGGAGGTTGCGGTGAGCCAAGATCGTGCCATTGCACTCCAGTCTGGGTAACGACAGCGAAACTCCGTCTCAAAAAAAAAAGAAAAAAATAAAGAATATACTGTGCCACATAATAAAATACACTAACACTAACTGTAGTTGATGAACTTTAAAAAATCACACAAAAAATCTCATAATGTTTTAAGAAAGTTTACAAATTTGCATTGGGCTGCATTCACAGCTGTCCTGGGCTGTATGCAGCCAGTGGGCCACGGGTTGGACAAGCTTGGTATACAACATGATGTTTTAAAATGTTTACATTGTAGGATGGCTAAATCAGTATAATTTGGAGCTAATTAACATATATGTTGCTTCATATGTTTATTTTTTGTGGTGAGAATACTGAAAATCTCCCATAGCAATTTTCAAGTATACAATACATTGTTATTAATTATAGCTATCATGTTGTATAAAAGACCTTGAACTTACTGCACTGATTTTTTTTTAATCACAAAAAATCAAGTCTAAATAGTCAATTGTTTACAAATCAAGAAAATCAGACATTAAATTATACTTTGACAGGGGAACACAGGCAAACTATTTTACCCTTTCCATAACAAAAAGGGCATACCTCAAAGTAATATAATAATGGGGCATACAAAAATAAGACTAGTGAATACCAAGTATGTTGAAACATTTTTGCATACATTGTTAAAATCTTAAGGAAATTGTTGAAGTCTTTTTATCAAAAAGCAGGATGTTGATAAATGGAATGATATAAGTTTTACAAGCAGAAGATAACTTTTCTATGTTCAACACTGTCCCTAAACCTTAAAGATATTTTTATTTAACTGAAATATAGAAAAATCTCCCAATGTCATTTTCATAAAATTTCTCCAAATTATACTGAAAAATATACTACCCAAAACCATGTATAGCAGATATAATTTATTTTACCATTGAAATCTACATTTTAGAAAACTTCTAAATAACTTTAGTGTGATTTGAGTAACTAAAACAAATGTGTTAGCATGTGCATATTTTTACAAATCTGTATAGATTCATCCTGTATCCAAGCATGTAATGTGTTGTTTATATTTTGCATTAGTTTTTTTTCCCAGGCATCTCTTTTGTTGTTCAATTGGTTTGTGCTTCAGAGGCAAACTAATGTTAACATTAAATGTTAACATTAACAATTAAATTAGAAGAATAACTTTCCTACTGACATAAAATACTACATATTTATAAAATGAGTTTTGATTTACACACTGTTCCTAGACCATCTCTAGATTTCCCCCATATTACCTTCTAGATTACTCTGCTGCTTGCCTCCATTAGTTGGAAAATTGAAACTTGATTAAGATTATGTAATTATAGGAGAGTAAATCCACTTACCTATAGGTAGGGTCACCATGATGAATGGGATATGTATCCATAGGAACATTTTCCATTGAAATATCAGTAAGAAGAAGTGACTTTCTATGTTTTAGGCTGCAGCGACTTCGAACTTCTTCAGACACTGTGAGCAAAGCTAAAAGGAAAAAGGTGGCAGATTAAAAAATTTAACAAATCACAAGTGTGACTTAAAACAGGATGAACTTCTTACAGTCTCCTAAAGAGAATAATACCTGTTAAATGTGCACATATTTTGGAAGACTATATAAGCATGAAATATACAAAGAGATTTATTTAATAAGCATCTTTTATTTTCCAAGTGCTTTAATGTACATTTGATTTTAACAAACACAAAGTAGGCAGGGCAGGTATTAAGTTCAATGAGAAAAAATATTGAGATGTTAAATGATCTGCTCAAGGTCATATGGTTCAAACGAAAAAGGTGACACATATGGAACTCTGTGAAACTGAGAATCAGCACTTTCCATCAAAAAACTATATTCAAGAATTGTATTGTACATAAGCGTAAGTGTTGCTGAGTAGAGACACAAAAGATAAGAGCAAATAGGAAGTGTTAATGGAATGGTGGGGATAGGGCAGACAGTCCAGATAAAATGGCATAAGGAATGAATGTTGAAGAGGCAGTCACTTGTGGGAGATGGCAAGTAGATTAGCTTAAAATAGCCTATCCATTTGGAGTGGTAATAAAAAATGAGGCTCATGAAATTTAGAGAAAGATGACAGAACTGAGAGGGCTATTTAAGGGCCCAGGATGCTAGACTGAAAGCATTCCAATTTTATGACAGATAACAGAGAGCCACTGTAATGTCCTGAACCAAATATGACCAAGGGAACACATTTCAGATTTTAATGGGAATTACATTCTTTCTTTCTTTTCTTTTTTTTGGAGATGAAGTTTTGCTCTTGTTACCCAGGCTGGAGTGCAATGGCGCGATCTCGGCTCACCGCAACCTCCGCCTCCTGGGTTCAGGCAATTCTCCTGCCTCCGCCTCCTGAGTAGCTGGAATTATAGGCATGCACCACCATGCCCAGCTAATTTTTGTATTTTTAGTAGAGACGGGGTTTTACCATGTTGACCAGGATGGTCTTGATCTCTCGACCTCGTGATCCACCCGCCTCAGCCTCCCAAAGTGCTGGGATTACAGGCATGAGCCACCGCGCCCGGCCTAAATTCTTTCATATAGAAAAATGTTTTGGCAAAACTCTCAAAACTGTAACCACCACTAAAGGACCAGACTGTGACCTTTTTACTCTGCCAAGCAACCAGCTAAAGGACCTATAGGTATTTGTATTTTTTGGGTGATCCTTAGATATAGATGTTGCAAGATTAATTTTGTTTATTTTGTGTTTTTACCTGCTAAGTAGGCCACGCTCTGTGTATTCACTTCAAATTTGTCACAATTTCTGTGTTTGTTAACCAGAGTTAGTAGTGTATGTAAAATTCTGACTGTTCTTGCAACAATGGCAGGTGAAGGATGTCTGTACCCTACAAAAAAAAAATACAAAGTTAATTAATTTTTTGAACAAGTATCTGCTGCGTTCTTATTCTCTGACTAGCAACTGTGCAAGGAAAGGAAGTGTAACTCCTGCCTTCCAAGAATACTATTTGGGAAGGTAAAACATACATATGTGAATGTGAATAATTAATTACATATAAGATTAAGCACCAAAAATGTGTAGAACAGAATATTCCCTAGAACCCTACAGTATTCCAGGAAGAGGAAAATTAAAAACATGATAGTCTTTCAGATCTTCTATTCCCTAAAGCAGCACAGCTTTAAAAAAGAAAATCTATGTATTAGAATGACCCTTAAGATTTCTTTTGAAAATAAGAGTTCTTTTACAAAAATATTTTTAATTAAAAGAAAACCTAATGACATAGCAAGTATATGCTCTAAGAGTCCAATAAATAGGGTTGATTAGAGGATAAATTTGATCTTTGGCCAACTTTTAATCATTAATGCTACTCCATTTAAAAATAGGTGATTTGAACACGGAAAGTATCTGATATTCTTTTCTTGTTTTAAGACAGAGTCTCAGTCTGTCACTCAGGCTGGAGTGCAATGGTGGGATCTTGGCTCACTGCAACCTCTGCCTTCCAGGTTCAAGCAATTCTTGTGCCTCAGCTTCCTCAGTGTCTGGAACTATAGACATGCATCACCTCGCCTGGCTAATTTTTGTATTTTTAGTAGAGACAGGGTTTTGCCATGTTGGCCAGGCTAGTCTTGAACTCTTGGCCTCAGGCAATCCTCCTGCCTCAGCCTCCCAAAGTGTTGGGAGTACAGGCGTGAGCTGCCACACCCAGCCTGGTATTCTTCTGGATATAAAAAATAAGTAAGCACTTTAATTAGCCCAGTTGCAATTCCTTACCTTGGTATCCTTTTGTAAGTGTAGTATCTTTTGAGAAATCCCTATTGGCCTTAGAGATTAACACTGTCAATATTTTTTGCAGAAATTTCATAAGAAAGCGAAATGAAATGCATACATTCACAGAAGTGGGTGTATGCATATATACATCAGGCAAAAACTGGGGGAATCTCCATCATCCCTCAAGCCTAAGATTTAAATTGAAACAAAACTGTTGACTCAAGCTGTAGCTAGACTCTCTATTGTGGCCACATCCAGTGCTGAGTCCACTGGGGTTTATGCCAGCTCCTTATCCCAGGTCTTACTTTACCCTTCCTTGCCTGACCTATTAATATGCTGTTCCTATTAACTGTAGTCTCTGGCCATGACTGCCCCATGTTAATGAACCAAAGATAACAAGCTGTGAAGTTAGCGATGGGGAGTAAAACCAGATTAGGAAGTGAATATACTGGCTCTGAAGAATAGCTGGAGATCACTGGCTTTAAGCAATGTAGAAGCGAGTAAGGGTAGGGTACCGGAAAGGTGAGGTACAATGGTATAAAATAATAGTATTAATCGACAGCAAGTCTAAGTAGCTGGAACTATAAGCATGTGCCACCATGCCTGGCTAATTTTTAAATTTTCTGTAGCGATGAAGTCTCACTATGTCGCCCAGGCTGGCCTCAAATTCCTAGCCTCAAGTGATCCTCCTGCCTTGGCCTCCCAAAGTGTTGGTATTACAGGCATGAGCCACCACACCTGGCCTAGTTTGCATTTCAAGTAAGACATATGGGCTAAGTTACTTCAATTTATTTCAAGTAATCAATTATTCAAATTATTTCTGTTTTTTTTAATACTATTTCATAAAAATATTCTAACATAGGCTTTTACCTTTTAAAAGGTGTCCAACCAGAGCAAAGTTAAAGTTAGAGTTGAAATTGAGTCCAACAAAATGATCCATTTGCTTGCAGTGCCACTCCAGAGGATTCCGGATTGCCATAAACACTTCCTCTGGACTCTATTAAATATTAAAGATAATCATAAGATGGTTGATAAGGTTCACACAGGAGCTTTCTTTAAAGGCTCACTTAATTGGTTTCTGTGTTCAACAGTATGATAATCTAAGTAATCCTTTCAAGGTGAGAGAAATTATTTTCATTCGACTGCAGAAAACCACAGTACATTTTAGCTACTACAAATTAACTGGTGCAAGACAGTTAAGCATATAAATGAGAATATGGTAGAAGATTAAATCACTTTAATTTACAATACAAAATAAATGACTCTCAATTTACATCCTGGTGACTTTTAACAAGCTTATAACTCTGATGCCTAGCATCCTAAGGGCACCAGAATCAAAATTAGCTCCTGCTACTGGGCTGTTCTGAAGATTAAAATGCCGAGGCAGATGCCCCATTTGCAGTGCTCCATTTGCAAATATTCTTTTTTTTGAGATGAAGTCTCACTTTGTCGCCCAGGTTGGAATGCAGTGGTACCATCTTGGCTCACTACAACCTCCACCTCCCAGGTTCAAGTGATCCTCCCACCTCATCCTCCCAAGTCACTGAAATTACAAGCCTGCGCCACCCCAGCTAATTTTTATATTTTTAGTAAAGACAGTTTCACCATGTCGGCCAGACTGGTCTCCTGACCTCAAGTGATCCTCCCAACTCAGCCTCCCAGAGTGCTGGGATTACAAGCATGAGCCACTGCACCCAGCCAATTTCCAAATATCTTTTTTTTTTTTTTTTTTTTTGAGACGGAGTTTCGCTCTTGTTACCCAGGCTGGAGTGCAATGGCACGATCTCGGCTCACTGCAACCTCCGCCTCCTGGGTTCAGGCAATTCTCCTGCTTCAGCCTCCTGAGTAGCTGGGATTACAGGCACACGCCACCATGCCCAGCTAATTTTTTGTATTTTTAGTAGAGACCATGTTGACCAGGATGTTCTTAATCTCTTGACCTCGTGATCCACCCGCCTCGGCCTCCCAAAGTGCTGGGATTACAGGCTTGAGCCACTGCGCCCGGCAAATATACTTAACATATAAATAGACAATAGCTAATATCACTGACCACCATTGTCCCAAAAAAGTTCTAGAAAAAGAGCAATGAGAATTAGGAAAGAGAGGGTCTAGTCCCAAAACAGATGTACAAGCATGGGCAAGTTACTTAACTTCTTAATTCCTTTCTAATTTGCAAAATGGAGGTCTGATTAATAAACTCCTTAATACCTCCTACCTCTAAAATTTAGTTTCCTTATTTCTCAGACCCCTAGCTGTTCTGGATTCACACTACATCTGGTAGACTGACCTAAAAATGTTTATACCAAGTATCTTCACACTTAAAACCATAATCCTGTTCTTTCTACCCACAGCTCAGTTAACTTCACGTCAGGCAAATCTCATTATATAATAAATTCTTTTAAAACATCCCCTCTTTTCTCCTAGACTCTTCCCATTTTTATCCAAACACAAAAGAGACATAATTTCATACTATTTTATTCTCTCCTCTATTCTCCATGAACTAAAATCCAACCCCAATCAGATTTCCATTTTACAAATTAGAAAGTAACTAAGAAATAACTTGCCCATGTTCACACACACACACACACACACACACACACACAGCACCCCTCCTAACATTTATTAATCTTAATTGGAAGGCCAGGCGCAGTGGCTCACGCCTGTAATCCCAGCACTTTAGGAGGCCGAGGCAGGTGGATCACGAGGTCAAGAGATCAAGACCATCCTGGTCAACATGGTGAAACCCCATCTCTATTAAAAATACAAAAAATTAGCTGGGCACGGTGGCACGTGACTGTAATCCCAGCTACTCAGGAGGCTGAGGCAGGAGAATTGCCTGAACCCAGGAGGCGGAGGTTGCAGTGAGCCGAGATCATGCCATTGCACTCCAGCCTGGGTAACAAGAGCGAAACTCCGTCTCAAAAAAAAAAAAAAAAAAATCTTAATTGGAGTTGGATTTTATATAATATATATATACATATATATATATATATATATACATATATATATATATATATACACACAAACACTTTATATATACACACATATATTTTACGTGTGTGTATATATGCATACACCTTTTTTTTTTTTTTTTTTTTTTTTTTTTTGAGACAGGGGCTCGCTCTGTTGCCCAGGCTGGAGTGTGGTAGCATGATCTCAGCTCACTGTAACCTCTGTCTCCCAGGCTCAAGCAATCCTCCTACCTTACCTCCCAAGTAGCTGGGATTGCAGGTGTATGTCACCATGCCGAACTAAGTTTCGCATTTTTTGTAGAGACGGGGTTTTGTCATGTTGCCCAGGGTGGTCTCTAACTCCTGAGCTCAAGTGATCCACCTGTCTTAGCCTCCCAAAGTGCTGGGATTACAGACATGAGCCATCACTCCCGGCCACTAATGGTATTATTTTAAAGTGAGATTAGACAAAAGAAAAAACTAGTAAAATTAAGTACCCAAAGGTTTCCTTTAGACTATCCAACTTCCTTATCTACTATGAATTATACCTATTTTTCATTAAGTGGTATTATTAAATAAAAATCAGTTTACCTTTAGATTATTTCTTTACTTGTGAAATGGAGGGCAGAGAATGCTAACCTTTACCTTAGGGTTAGGAAAATTAAAAATAATGAATGTATAGTGTTTAGCATATGGCCTGGCATGGTAGTTACTATTATTACTATTATGTATTATTTATCTGTATTCTGTAAAGACAAAGATAATTATGTATTATTTATCCTTATTTTGTAATTCTACTAGGATTAGGCCAGTACTGCTTTTATTTGTTTTTTTACTATATACATTTTTTTTTTTTTTTTTTGAGATGGAATCTTGCTCTGTTACCACGTTGGAGTGCAGTGGTGCAATCTCGGCTCATTGCAATCTCTGCCTCCCGGGTTCATGTGATTCTCCTATCTCAGCCTCTCAAGCAGCTGGGACTAAAGGCACGCACCACCACGCCCATCTAATTTTTGTATTTTTAGTAGAGATGGGGTTTCACCATCTTGGCCAGAATGGTCTTGATCTCTTGACCTTGTGATCTGCCTGCCTCTGCCTCCCAAAGTGCTGGGATTAAGGGCATTAGCCACTGTGCCCAGCCAGCTTTATTTATTTATTTATTTTAAAACTATTTTTATATAGAAAATATGCATTCAAGTTTACATAGTTCTTTATGAGCTGGTAAGGAAATATACTCATGATAAGTTATATTATAGAACTTGATATTTAACTTAAGAGCTTCTTGTGATTTTAAAAGAATAGCAACAATAAAAGAGGGAAGAGTAGTAAATTTGAGTAATCTAGGAACCCCAAGGGAAAGCTTGCTTACCTTGTCATTGAATATCCGGAGACTATCTAAAGTATGCAGGTTTTGTTCAAGAAGTGCAGTGCCTGCTGAATACAAGTTGACCTCATCAAGCTGCAGCACAGCCACAGCTACCCAAAAAAGGGCTTTGTGCAGAGGGGAGTCCTGGCAAAGGAGACATGTTTGAGGCTAGTAATATGAATCATGAAGTAGTCTCTTTCACAACATACTGCAGTAGCTTATCTTCCTAAATTACCCATGTTTTCTCTTTTGGGGAATATAAAGATATGGGTAAGCTTTTCGTCTTTTCCATATGTAAGTTACTGTTAGCTAGACTGAGAATCTTACTTAGCATTCTCCCTGTGCTTTAATTTCTAAATCCAGTTACTCAGGTTTGTTGATTCTTCTAGAGTGGTCTCTTTTGTATCTGTCATTTCTTTCTTATTGCTAATGACATTAACCCATGCCAACCTTATTTATTATAAAGATGGATTCTTTTTAACCTCACTTTCTCCCTACTCCAATCCACTGGGCACACTACCACCAGGATCTAAGTCCTGCTTTCGTTATATAACTTGTCTGCTTAAAAATTGTACATTTCAAAACTCTTTTCTGAACAATGCTGAATGTGAGATAAGGTCTATCCAGCCCTCACAACTTTCCCTCTCTCTACTCTTTTGATAAATTTCTCCATTACAGCTGTAATGTTCTACCCACCTTCCCTCCATTGTGCCAGCATTCTTGTACAGTCCTATTGCTATCCTTACTGCTCAAGGCTTTTTGCTTGCTTCCTTTCTCTCTACCTAAATTAACTCCTATGTTTCCCTTTAACTTGAGTTTAGACTCTATCTTTTCAACTTCTTGTCACTCTTAACCAGTATGGTAATCTCTTGCTACTCTGAAATAGAAGTATTTATTATTGGTAATCCTTATTTAGCATTGTGATATTAGGAGAAATACATGGACTTTAGAATCAGATAATATCAGATTAGAATCATGGTTCTTTTATTAGGTATGTGACCGTGGGCAAGTTATTTAGCCCCTCTGAGCTCATTTTCACTTATAAGATGGGGACAAGAGAAGCGTTTTGTTTAATATAAAATTAGGATGTTTGTAGACAAACCAGGAATATAACAGGTATTTATTTATCTGTTCTCTCTCCCAAGTCTGGCATGTCTTTGTACTCAAATCACAGAATTAAACCACTTTAGAATTGGAGGGCAATACCATGCCATTATCGAATCTAAGATTATTCATTTTATTAATATGAAAACATGATGTCTAGATATGTTAAATCAGGGCACAAAGCTGGGATAAGCTCAGGCCATCCTAAAACAGTGGCCACATCATTTTACTCCTTTCAAGTATCATCTTCATTTAGTACCTACTCTTCCGATGATTAGGTAATAATAATCACTAACATATGATGTATTTTGTTTACCTTATTATCCATCCACTCACCAACCTCCACACCCACCCTAGAAAGTAAGCTCCATGAAGGCAGTGAGTTTTATGGGCTTTGTTAGTCCTCTATCTCTAGCACCTAGAACAGTACTTGGCAATAGCAGATAATTAATACTTCTAAGAGAAGTAAGAATATATACCTATCTCTCCTTTAGCACTGATAAGACAAAAAACTTTCAAGCACTTGAGAACATACTATTTACACTTACTCTTCTTCTAATATAACTACTTCAAACAACTAAACTTTAAGAGGTTCTACTTTATAGCATTTTCTTTATAGCTTATTCTCAATTCATCTTATTTTCTAAACTCTTTGAAAGAAAAATATTCAACACTGATATCCAAAATGAATGCACTCATTTTCTATATAGTAATTACCTTATTAAGAAGTGGCTGTAATTTGGTCAGTGCTATTACTGTAGCTTCTATCAGAACTTGACTGTTGTAAGTATCGGGTCCTTTTAAGCAACTTTCAAGTGCCTTTTAGGAAAACAGAATTTTTAATTTTACTTTCATTGAAATAAAACATTAACTCCTAAACTGAATCTCAGAATAAATTCAGGAACATCTACTTATTTAATAAATACTAGAATGATTTGTAATGCTATGACGATCTTGGTAGTTGGCTTAATGTACATTTATTTTCTAATTTTTGATATTTCTACATAAGAGTCTGACATTATTTTTTCTTTATTTTCTTTTTTTGTCTATGGGGTGATCCAAATGACATTATTATAGTAATTACAAATTACATAATTTTATACAAGACTATAGTCTTACCATATAATTAAATGCCTTGAAAACTGGTAAAATATTAAGTGTACCTGTTTAGCAAAAGAGGCATATTGAAGTAATCAGAGTTTTCGAATAAAGACATCTTCTTTAGAGAAGATTTCTTCAAAGAATTACAATAAAGAAAATAAAATACATTTTAAAGGCTTAATAAATAACATGATATTTTATTGAACTCAAATTTAAACGTCTTTTAGAAAAATGAAAGATATGCTTTACAACCTGGGAACCATAAATATTTGGGAGAACTGAGGGCAAAACAAGTACCTTGCTAAGAATACGGATAATCTGCTTTATCTGCCCATGAGACACTCGTTTGCTAATACAGCCAAAGACAACAAGAGCTCTTGGTTGCAGGGATGGATTATATTGGAATGCAAATCTGCAATTAAAAGATTCACAGAACTTATAAAAACCTTTGTGTATATATATACTAAATAATAAATTATAATACTGATCATACAGTAATAGCTTTATTTTCAATAATAGACACATTTTTACAACTTATATTTAATTTGGGACATACCTTTGAGCTAGTTCTGTCCACTGGTCCAGCCACTTGCATGTTGGAATATCTCTCATGCATGCCTAAAAAAGGGGATACTCTGAATATATATGTACATAAATGTTTTTAGAACTGTTTAAATGTTTATTGTAATGTCATTAAGTGACCTGTTACCAATAACACATTCCATGCAAGTGTTTTTATTTAAGCATTAAATACAAAATAGCACAATAAACCAGTATTTATTTTATAATTCTATTTTACCCAGTATTTCTTCTATATAGTATTAATTTTTTTTTTTTTTTGAGACCGAGTCTCACGCTATTGCCAGGCTGGAGTGCAGTTCGATCCCCACTCACTGCAACTTTTGTTTTCCAGTATCAACCAATTCTCCTGCCTCAGCCCCCCGAGCAGCTGGGACTACAGGCACGCATTATCACGCCCGGCTAATTTTTTGTATTTTTATTAGAGACGGGGTTTCACCATGTTGACCAGGATGGCCTCGATCTCTTGACCTCATGATCAGCCCGCCTTGGCCTCCCAAAGTGCTGGGATTACAGGTGTGAGACACTGCACCTGGCTAGTATTAATATATTTTTTTAAAAAGATTTTAACCTAGTTTCTGATTTTGCCTTATATACCTCCATGATCTCCAACAAAGCTTCTGTGACTGTTTCCAAGGATGTCAAAGCAAAAGTCTCCCTCTCATAGGAGCCAGGAGAAAATGACCTGTCCCGGTAACTGGAACGGAAGGCAATGACAGCAGCTGATTTGACTTTGCTAATACCAAACAGCAAGTAAAACTTGGGTAATGAGAACTCTGTCAGACTGAGTCTCAAAACTTGCTTGGTCTCTTCTGTAAGAGAATAAAGGAACAAGTAAAGACAGAAAATATTACTTTTTGATTTCTAAAGTTCCATGTTTCATTTCGAATTTGGAAAATTTGAGTATCATATAACAATTACATAATCACCCTCTCTAAATCAAACCTCTAAATACATTATATTAAGGCTCCTTGTTCTAGCTCCATTTATCTACAAATCGGTGCTGGTAACGGAACACAGTCAACTGGCACTGAGTATTTCGTTTATGTGATAACTATAAGGGTCTACATGACAACTATGCACAGAAAATCTTTACTACAGCTTGATATGAAATGAAAGTAATGGTTTAAATTAGCAATTTGGTGTTAAGGCATCAACATAAATAATAAGATAACCTATATTGATCAGGTGAAGCAAAATGGAGAAAGGAACTGGTAAACACAAATTCCTTTCCTAGAACTTACCACTGAAATGAAGCTGTGAACAAGTACACAGAGAGTGAATGATATTAATGACCAGTCCATGTGTGGAAGCTCTAAGGGAGAGTGGACCTGTGGCTACTAAGAAAGTAACAACGTGGAAGAGGTAGGGAAGATGAGCTGCCACATCAAGGGAATTGTTGAAGGACAGCATCAGCATGTAGCGTGCTAAAATAGCAATATCATCCCACATGAGATGTTGTTCTAAAGTAGGAGTTGGAGATAAGCATGTCTTGTCAATTATTTTGCACATCCTTCCAATAACCTGTAAAGAAGTAGAATATTTTTTTTAAAAAAATCATGAGACTTAAAGTTTTATTACAAAAGTTCAGCTTAATTTAAAAGTAATTACAAAACAAAAAACCTCTTGATAAAAACAGATACACTATAGTACAGAAGGCAAAAGCAAAGTGATTACCTTGCTTGAAACCAATTTCACATTTCCAGAAGCCAAAGCTACAGCAGTATCTGCCATCACCTCAGCTTTAATTGATCCCAAGCCACCTGTTGCACTGGTTTTGATGAAACTGTCTAGTACAACATCAAGCAGATCTGTAATCTAGTTGAATAAGGAAAATAACATGTTTTTAATTATTCTACCAATTTAATTTTTAATTAAAAATACTCATTGGAAGAGCCCAATCAATATCAAAATTCTATTTTACCCAAGGCCTCAAAAATACTAGATTTAATTACAGACCTGTCAGTAAATACAATTTATCATAAAATACCCAGGAAAGGATGAGCATATTCATTTGATTTCTTCAGAGATTAAGAGATTGGTATTCAAAAATTTAACTCTATCAATACTATCTTCATTCAGTTGCAAAGTATCTCTGTGTTTTTCTAAGGCAGTAATGTATGATCAATATAAAATAGTGATTTGAAAATACAGAGCTGGGTGTGGTGGCTCACGTCTGTAAACCCAGTATTTAGGGAGGCTGAGGCGAGTGGATTGTTTGAGGCCAGGAGTTCAAGACCAGCCTGGGCAATGTGGCAAAACCCCATCTCTACAAAGAAGAAAAAATACAAAAATTAGCCAGGTGTGTTGGTGTGCACCTGTAGGCCCAGCTGCTTGGGAGGCTGAGGTGGAAGGATCACTTGAGCCTGGGAGGCAGAGGTTGCAATGAGGCGAGACTGCACACTGTACTCCAGGCTGGCCAACAGAGCGAGACCCAGTCTCAAAAAACAAATAAGAAAAATATAGGAAATGACATGAAGTACCAAGATGTTCTCTAGGGCTGTAACACTGGCTCCCAGGTTATTTCAAATTATTTGGAGGAGTTGCAGCATTTTTTGAGTGAGGGTATTATTTCCTTAAGTGATTACTTTGAAGAAATGATATGCATAATTCTTGTCAGATAAAAATAAAATTTGCATTATATCCTATTTTTAATATTGGCATTCTTATGTAGAACTATAAATGAAAGCAGGTGTCCCAAATAGCATCAATAAGAAGAAACATCTACTAACACCTTAGCATGTAGAGAACTGGAATAAAATACTATTTACTAGAAATGTCATCAGATTTCTACAGTTCTATGTAATATATATAATTCTATAAAATTATGCCATGAAAGAGACTGTGCAAAAAACTAGCTTTTCTCTGGCCCTGAGATACGCTCTAGACACTTACAATTTTGAACTAGATGAAGAGCTGGGTGAGTGTCTACATGCTTTCTGAAGGAGAAAATTGTGTTTTTTACAACTCTATCCCTAGCGTCTAAGGCAGTGCTTTGCCCAATGTGGGCACCAGATAATTACTTGCACAAAACAGATACTAAATAAATATCTGAGCAAACTCAATACCTGCCCGAGGCTTCCCCATATTTTTGCTTGAATAGATGGGTACATCTGTTTTTCATTTATGGTCATTGTTATCAGCTTGTCAAGAATAGCAGTAACTCTTTGTCGTTTCGCATCATCATTATGCTTGCAAAAACGAACTAGATTTGACAGCCATGGAGTCATGTATTCCAGACAAAGGTGTTTCAATTCAATACCTGGAAAAAAAAAATACACTATTAGCATGTGATGGTCAATGAAAATCACATCAACAATCATTTAATATAAAGAATTCGGGGAAAAAAAGGGAAACGGTAAAGACTACTACCTAGAATCAGGCCTGGAGAAAAGAGACTTGGCAAATATATTTTTGTAGGGGTGAAGAAGGAACAGGCCTCGAAGTACGTAATTTTAAAAGCCAGTAAGCCAATTTTTGAAAAGTTTTGTCTTATTTTCTCCATTTTAGTAATTTCTCTTCTTGTTAAAAAATTAAGTTTTATTCTCATTATAAAAGGAAAATGTAGTCATCATAGAAAGTTTGGTAAAAGGAAAGCATCACCACAAAAATGAAAACTATATTAACATGTTGGTGTATCATCTCATCTTTCCTCAGGCTTTCAAATTTATGTAGAGATAATGAACATTTATGTGTGTGTACACACATATAACCCACTCCCACTCCCCCACAAAAATTGGGATTATGCTATACATGCAGTATGCTCTGAATATTCTTTTCAGTGAATGTCATACTGAGTTTATTTATTCAGTGTTACAAATTCTGCATAAACTTGTTTTAACTTATTTGAAAAAGCTTCACATTTATAAGAAAAAATTGTATAAAAATTTATACACTTCACCTAAAGTCTAAAATAATTTTAAAAATTGTGGTAAATATATACAATATAAAATTTACCATTTTAACTATTTTTAAATGTACAGTTCCGTGGCATTAATCATTTTTAAGGGCAGTTCAGTGGCACTGAGTACATTCAAATCATTGTGCAGCCATCACCGCCATCCATCTCCAGAACCTTTCCATCTTCCAAACTGAAACCCTGTAACAAAGCCATTTTTTAATGGCTTCATATTATTCCATCAGATGGAAAACCAATAATTTAACCAGTTCCTTTTAATTTGACTTTTGGCCTGTTTTTTTGTTTTTTTTTTGGCTATTATAAATAATGTCAAATGAAGTTCTAAAGTAGGCAAAATAAATCTATGCAATAGAGATCATAATAGTGTTTACTCTTGGTGAAGGGAGGGTACTGAGAAGATCCTTCTGGATGCTGGAAGTGCTCTGTCTTGATCTGAAACATACTTTCATGATGTATTCACATGTAAAAGTTCATCAAGCTGTTCACTTAAGATCTTGGCACTTTACTGATAACAAGATACACCTCAATTTAAAAATCTACATAAAAATAATGCTATAATAAACATCTTAATATTAATTCTTTAGGATAAATGCTAAAAAGCAGAATTATGAGGCCAAAAGATATGAATAGTCTTAAGATCTTGTTAACCACTTCCAAATGCCTTTCTAGAAAAATTGCTCCTGCTCACAATTCCACAGACCACCAGGAATAGATCTAAAAAAAAAAAAAAAAATTTGCCAACCTGATAGCTGAATATATTACCTCACTATTCTTTCAATTTGGCTTTCGTTATTAAGGAACTTCTTAAAATATAAATAATCTTTTTTTTTTTTTTTGAGATAGGGGCCTCTCTCTGATATTCAGGCTGGTCTCAAACCCCTGGGCTTAAGCAATCCGCCTGAGTAGCTGGGATTATAGGCATGTGCCATGGTGTCTGGCTTTTTGCTTTTTTTGTATTTTTTTTTTTTTTTTTTTTTTTTGAGACGGAGTCTCGCTCTGTCACCCAGGCTGGTGTGCAATGGCACGGTCTTGCCTCCCTGCAACCTCCACCTCCCAGGTTCAAGCTATTCTCCTGCCTCAGTCTCCTGAGTAGCTGGGATTACAGGTGCCCGCCACCATGCCCAATTAATTTTTGTATTTTTAGTAGAGATGGGGGTACCTCCATCTTGGTTAGGCTGGTCTTGAACTCCTGACCTTGTGATCTGCCCACTTTGACCTCCCAAAGTGCTGGGATTACAGGCATGAACCACGGGGCCTGGCCTAAATATTTTTTTAAAACATGATCTGTATGTTACTGTTAACTCATTTTTTATTAATCTGTAAGCACTCTTCATGATTAAGGATATTAATTTTTTTCTCATATTTGCTCCAAGTATATTTCCTAGTTTTTAATTATCTTCACTTTTGTTTATTTTTGAGTAGATGTTTGGAAGTTTTATGTAATCAAATCTGTTCACTATTTTCTTTGTTTCATTCTATCACTTTTTTACTTCATATGCTCTTACTCACCTAGAAAGCAATTAAATATTCACTTGTTCCTCTTTTTAAAATGGTTCCATACAACTTTTTTTTTTTTTTCTGAGAGAGTCTCACTCTATCATCTAGGCTGGAGTGCAGTGTTACAATCACAGCTCACTGTAGCCTTGTCCTAGGGGCTCAAGCAATCCTCCAGCCACAATCCTCTTGCCTCAACCTCCCAAAGTGCTGCAATTATGAGTGGGAGCCATCACACACAGCCTTATTCAACTTTTAAATATAGGTAGAACATACTTGGTATCTTGTGGTGTACGGTGAATTAGGTTTTCACGATGAAGACCTAATTTAAGTCATTTCCCAACTTCATTTCTTAAATGATTTAATCTCTCTCCAATCAGTTTATGGTGTTTCTTTATCAATCTGTTTCTCTTAAATTGATCTGATGGCTGATTTGTATACGTATATTTTAATTATTGTACTGTTATAAAGTGTTCAGACATCTGTACTGTCAAGTCTCAAGTCTCTTTCAATATTTTCTTAGCTATTATTGCACTTTTATGTAGAATTTAGAATCATTTCAGTTCTAGCTCCATTCTCAATCCTCAAATCCCATGGTTATTTTGATGAAATTACATTCAATTTGTAATAATCTGGGAAGAACTGTTTATGCAGGAACATAATATGCCTTTACATTCACTCAAATCTTTTCTTATATTAACATTTATCAATAAAGTTTATACTTTTATGCAGGAACATAATATGCCTTTACATTCACTCAAATCTTTTCTTATATTAACATTTATCAATAAAGTTTATACTTTTCTTGTTTTGTCAGTCCTACACATTTTTTTTGTTAGAGGTATATTCCTATATCTCTTACTTGAAAATAATCTTAGTGAATTGCTGAAGCTTTTGATTATCTAATACAGAAAAATCAAGAAATGTGTTTGAATGCAGAAAAAAAGGTTTTATGTATTACAGGGAAAGGAAAGAAAATGTCAGGAAGTATGGTGGGAGAAGATCAACATTTATACTACTATAGGTTATAAAGATGGACAAATATAAAGAGTCGATGTTAAATTTACGAGACTTGGTTAAAACTAAGTCAGGACTGACCCTGGACCCTGTATTATGTGCTACTGTGCTCTTTGTGAACTGTACGTGTACAATAAAATCATCATTCAAAGTCAACCTGAAGAAAAAGGAAAATGACTAGTTCCTTAAAATGAAGGAGGCAACATGGATACTTATATGGACTTTTCTGCTAAGAAGAGAAACGCTGAAGCTAATGAAAATGTAACAGTGAAGAAAATGCTTTGTAAGTGGTCCAGAGATGTGTAAGGTACCAAACCCTTGCCAGCTTGCTTTTATTGTCAGAATTTTGGTGGATTTCTCAATGTGGCCTACCAAAAAGTTCCTTCAGAGTTCCTTCAGTTACAGGGTACCACAGATGTAAAATCTTAAGAGGAGAAAAAGTAAAAATATAAGTGAAAGGCTTCACTGGCAAACTCTGAAATGAAAGGTTTTCTTTGAATTTTCTTAGAATAATCGTTAGTATTAAAGAAAATTATCATTACTTACTAGATTTGCTAAATCCAGAAATACACTCTTCCAAAAACTCTAATGTGAGGTGTGGCTCATTGGCTGCCAGTGTCTTACTAATAGAGACAATAAAGAGGGTATTGTTGGCAGGGATACATAAACCTGATGTCTCTAGTAACTGGCCCTCGATTTTTAAATTAAAGGTACAAGTTAAGGCACACAGAAGATTATAGGCAGCTGACCTAGGAGAAAACACAAACGAAGTTGTTTTAAAACGTATTTTTCCTTATAGTTCCAAAACTTTTTCGTAACATACAATTGTGATTCTATTACAGAGTATGATATTTTTAAATTTTATGAGCAATTAGAAGTAAGATGTTATAATTCCACGATAAAACCAAAATACCTCTTGATCATTTGGAGATTTTATAAAAAGGGAGATTCTTGATATAACCATAAGAGCACTGTGAGGCTTCTATGACGGGGGTGTAGGCTTTCCTAAAAGAAATCTTACTGGGACATAAAATATGAGAGGACTTAATGGTTCTAAGGTGGATCAATATAAATTAAGTCAGAATAAGGCACATCATACATTTTTAGTAAAGCCAAAACTCAAATTCTGGTTCCCTCTCCCACTAGATCCAGTTATAATGGGGATCATGAGGAAAGAAATCAGATGATCCTTCCCTTCATCAAATTAGAATGTGAAAATCTTTAATCAAGATCTGCTCATCTTCTTTCTGGGTATCCTACAAGTTACCCTACAAACTGGAGGTTAAAAACAAAATTAACTTATAATTAAGTCCTCCCAATTTTCCCTCTATGATCTCATTACATCATACACAAGCACCAAAACTGAAAAAACGTGTAATGTCCAGGTTTCATTGAGACCAACATCACTTACAAATGTCTGAAAATATAGCTAAGCAATTTAGGAGATAGCCTAAAATACTAGACTCAATTTAAAATTTTTAATTTTCTCCCCTGTCCAGTAAAGGAAATAGTTTGTTCAGTAAATTTCAGGTTTTCCTTACCTCTGAATGTTTATCATACTAATATATTTACGCAATCACCATATAGGGAAAAAGCCACTGGAATTTAAGTCTGCCTACAGGCTTCATCTCTGGGATGACATGCTTCAGCAAAAAGCACAAGCTGTCATGTTGGTTTAGGTCACTAGAGAAGAATACAGGTTTACCCAGGCTAATAACTGTTAAAAGGTTGTTTGTATTTTTCTATGAATATCTTTGAATTAGAAATTAAAGGCAGCCTTATAGCTCTATTTTCCTAAAATGTGAATATTAGTGTTATTGTTTCTAAGTTTATGTATCTTTTTTCTTTTTTTAAAATTTTTAGTCAGAGTCTCACTATGCTCCCCAGGCTGCTGTGCATTGGGTATTCACAGGTATGATTATAACACACTGCAGCCTTGAGCTCCTGAGCTCAAGATATCCTCCTGACTCAGCCTCCTGAGTAGCTGGAACTACAGGTATGTGCCACTGTGCTCAGCTTGTATCTTTTATTAATTCCCAGGAATTCTAAATTATACAATTTTGACATTAACTTTTATTCCGTGTATTTCAACAGTTATAAAGAGCTAGACTTCCTCACCTAGGATAGGTGTCACAGACACCTATGAGATAAGGAAGCAAAGCATACACAAAATCTTATGTACACTTTCTTTTCTTTCTTTTTTTTTTTTTCAGACGGAGTCTTGCTCTGTTGCCAGGGTGTAGTGCAGTGGCATGATCTTGGCTCACTGCAATCTGTGCCTCCTAGGTTCAAGCGATTCTCTTACCTCAGCCTCCTGAGTAGCTGGGACTGCAGGCACACATCACCATATCCAGCTAATTTTTGTATTTTTAGTAGAGACAGGGTTCACCATGTTAGCCAGGCTGGTCTCAATTTCTTGACCTCGTGATCCGTCCACCTCGGCCTCCCAAAGTGCTGGGATTACAGGCATGAGCCACCGTGCCCGGCCTTATGTACAATTTCTAAAGCCCATCCAAGTAAATAAATCTTGATTTTTTTTCTTTTTCCTTTTAAGTAAAGGAGAATTTGGAATCCTAAAAGGCCCACTACAAAACATGGGCTATGTTATTCTCAGGGAAAATTTTCAGAAGCTAAGAATTTGCATCTGTAAAAATCTTGAAAGTCTCGAGGTATTTGAGACAAAGAATTATTCTAACTTGGTAAGGAGATGGGAGAAAAGGGAGAAAGGGTGCAAAGAGATGTTGGCAGGGAGGAAAAGATAAGAGAATAAAACATTGTTTACTAAGCATAAACTATTTGCTAGGTTGCTATACTATACTACCACACATACTATTTATTAAGCTTTTGTAGGCGTATGAGGAAGGCAGTTGTCTTTATTTTTATTTTTTTAATGAGGAAACTAGATCTCTGAGAACTTCAGTATCTTGCTCAAAGTACATAGCAAGAAAGTGGCAGATCTGTTCAAACCAAATCTACTGACTCCACAGCCACGCTTTCCACGTGCACATTCAAATTATTATGCCTAAATGGAACCAATTATGCTCTGCTCAGATTGATGTATTTGTCTTCAGATTTCTTTGGAGAATTTTGTTAAGATGACATAGGTGGAAAGTATGCAATACTCTTACCAAGTTATTGAACATTAGGCCTTTTTTTGTCAAACTGATAATCTGACTTGACTTTTAAACTAAATAGTGATATACTGCTGAAAATGGAAACAATTAGAGGACTCAGAGGAGAAAAAAACTCAATTTAGGGTACTTTACTTTGGAAAAAAAAATCTGCTATTTTGTTTTGTTTTACATGAAATTTTCCTGGAGAAAGAACATATATTGGTTTAGTGTGAATCACCCTGTTTGGAATTCCACAGTTCATGTGAATACCCTCACAACTTGATGAGGTCACAGTGGTTAACCAACACTGCATATCTTCCAATTTATAATATTAAGGTAGAGGCTGCTTTAAAATTTATTAAATGGTCTCATTTTAAAAGCAATAAACCCCAAATAAAACTGAAGTGAATTAAAAAAAAACCTACCGTAAACTTGGGTCAGAACTGCCTAAATTAAGTAATGCAATATTGAGCAGTGTCCCAGGGACATCTTTTGGCCGAATCTTGGTGTGTTGGGGGATAGAGTCGGGCTGTGACAGTTCCCAGCGGGTACGGATATGAATGATAGACTGGACAATGGCTTCACACTCCTGGTGCATGAAGGTGAGCGGTGTGCCCTGGTTTGCAATGGTTAAGGTGAACTGGTTCTCATCTACTAGGCAGATTTCTTCAATTTCCGAAGCATAATAGATATCATTTAGAAAGACTGATTGTCCTAGGACTTTTGTTCGCTCTGCTGAGGTTACTTGGACAGCAGTAGAACCAACCTGGAAAGGGGTGGTGAGGGGGTGAAGTGGAAAAGAATTAAATTCCTTTACATAAAATTCTAAAAAAAAAGCTCCAAAAACCAACCAACCAAACAAAACACTATCCCATTTAAGGAAAAGTTCCCACCATCATATATTCAAATGGTTCAGTAATTCGCATGACAAACGTTCTCAGAAACAAAAAACATTAAAAAATTTTTAATTTTGCTTTTTAAAAAGGTCACGAATCTTATAGAAGGCCAGGCACAGTGGCTCATGCCTATAATCCCAACACTTTGGGAGGCTGAGGCAGGCACATCACTTGAGGTCAAGAGTTCATGACCAGCTGGGCCAACATGGTGAAACTCTGTCTCTACTAAAAGTACAAAAATTAGCTAGGCGTGGTGGTGTGTGCTTGTGATCCTAGCTACTTGGGAGGCTAAGGCAGAATAATTGCTTGAATCCAGGAGGCAGAGGTTGCAGTGAGCTGAGATCATGCCACTGCACTCCAGCCTAGGCGACAGAGTGAGACTCCATCTCAAAAAAAAAAAAAAAACTCATAGAAAAATACTGATTTTTTGTTGTTATTGTTGTTGTTGAGACAGAGTCTTGCTATGTTGCCAGGCTGGACTGCAGTGGCAAGATTTCTGTTCACTGCAACCTTCGCCTCCAGGGTTCAAGCAATTCTTCTGCCTCAGCCTCCCGAGTAGCTGGGACGACAGGTGCGCACCACTGCACCCAGCTAATTTTTATATTTTTAGTAGAGATGGGATTTCACCATGTTGGCCATGGTCAAGACCATGGATGGTCTTGATCTCTTGACCTCGTAATGCGCCCACCTCGGCCTCCCAAAGCGCTGGGATTATGGGTGTGAGCCACTGTGCCCGGCCAGAAAGATACTGATTTTATCCTGGGTTCATGTTCCTCACTCTGCAAAAAGCATATAATAATCAAAATAACTCTCGTTAGGTAATTTCTACTCTCTACACATTCCTATAATTTGAATGACCTAACAAACTGCCGTATTCTACTTCCAGCCTAAACTAGAATAAAATATATACTTCTCATGTCCTCCGCAGAACCTCCATGATGACACAAATGTTGGTCTTTCTACATCTAGACTTACATAATTTTTTTTTTTTTTTGAGACGGAGTCTCCCTCTGTCGCCCAGGCTGGAGTAGAGCGGCATGATCTCAGCTCACTGCAACCTCCACCTCCCAGGTTCAAGGAATTCTCTGACCTCAGCCTCCTGAGTAGCAGGGATTATAGGTGCCCATCACCATGCCCAGCTAATTTTTGTATTTTTAGTAGAGGGAGGGTTTCACCATGTTGGTCAGGCTGGTCTTAAACTCCTGACCTCAGGTGATCTGCCTACCTCGATATCCCAGAGTGCTAGGATTATAGGCGTGAGCCACCGCACCAGCCTTACATGACATTTTATAGACCACGATGGATAGGAAACCTAGGGAAGCCAGAATATAATCTAGCTAGCCAGGAAAAGCAATGAATCATTTATGAAACACAGACTGAAACTTACTTTAATAGAAACTTTGGTGTCTTTGTGAGCTAGCTTGAGAGCATTGTGGAATACCTTCAGGTCCTCTTCTAAAGCCAAGGTGGCAGCAGGTAGTTTCTGTTGTTCATGTTCTATGTGCTCAGCCAGTTTCCCAGGACAGTCTATAAAAACAAGCCTTTTGCTACCTTTGAGGCCAGTCAGCAGCCGCTCATGATACTTGGTATACTCCCTGACCCAGGAGTTACAGTTATAGACATAGACTGCGGAGACATTGTCGTAAGCAAAGCCAGGAAAAACAACAAACCACTTAGAAAGAAAGTCTGTTTTAAAGCGATTGCTAGGCCCGGTATGGGTAAGGTCTACTACAATTTCATATGGCTTTGCATAATATGGCTTTAAAGTCAGTAAGACGTGGTATATCAGCAAATCACCATTGATTTGACCAGTTTTGAACCTAAAGAAAATGATAAGAAAGACAAAGATTATTAGCAGTGTCTAGAATAAATATACAGATGCTACTATTTTATTTATTTTACAATTCATTTTCTAGAGAGAGTAATATAAAGCAACTATTCAAAACTGGATTTTTTTAAAAAAATCAGTTGTTTTTTGGACACTGAATAATAAGGCTAAGAGAAGAGACAAATCTCCAATTCAAAACTTTTGAGCAACAACAGTAATAAAAAATCTGCCCGAGTCAAGAAAGGAAGAAAACGTTGAGCATTAGTCGGTTCCCTGCAGGTCCACCAAACTCCTAAGGTGAACAGTTTGGTGGGAATGACCCGTCTGGAGCTCTGGAGTGAGATGGTTTTAGCCAATTCATTTATCCCACCTTGATCAGAGACTGATTCAGCAATGAACACATGATTCAAATCAGGACAACCAGGACCAAAGGGGCCCAGTTCAGGTACTTTAGCTTAAATTGTTGGAATTTGAGATATTTCTTTCCTGGTGTTTATAAACAAAGGAATACACAGCCCTAGGAGTTGCTTGCGCCTATCTTGGGATATAAAAGAAGAGCCTCCCATAAAACTGAAGAGAAGGAGCTGAGAAATGAAGAGACAAACTGGAGCCCTAGCCATATCATTTGTGCCCGAAAGCCTCTCCTGGGGTCAAATTTACCCCAGGACTATTCAGTTATATAAACCAATAAATACCTTTTTTGATTAAGCCACATAGGTTTTATGTTGTTTAAAACCAAAAGAATGCTAATAAACATGAGCAGCCACAGTGAAGACCATGAAAAAGCCCTCAAGTAATGGTACCGAAGTTTCAAATCAAAACAATCTACATTAACTCAGGCCCAAAGTTTTCCATATGTGATGACTCTGGTGATACTACTACTAAATAAGTTAACAAAAAATATCTTCACTTCAGAGGTTGGTTAATGGATATAAAAATATATTAAGGGCCGGGCACAGTGACTCACGCTTGTAATCCCAGCACTTGGGAGAATGAGGCAGGCAGATCACATGAGGCCAGAAGTTTGAGACCAGCCTGGTCAACATGGGAAAACCCTGTCTCTACTAAAAATACAAAAATTAGCCAGGTGTGGTGGTGCACGTAGATAATCCCAGCTACTTGGGAGGCTGAGGCATGAGAATCACTTGGACCTGGGAGGCAGAGGCTGCAGTGAGCTGAGATTGTACCACTGCACTTCAGCCTTGTCAATAGTGAGACTATCTCAAAAAATATATATATTTAGTAGAGATGGGGTTTCACCATGTTGGCCAGGCTGGTCTTGAACTCCTGACCTCAGGTGAACAGTCTACCTCGGCCTCCCAAAGTGTTGGGCTTACCAGGCGTAAGCCACCATGCCCCACCTGAATGCGTGATATTTTGATACATGCATACAATGCATCATATAATACATATATATGTATTATTATAATTAGAAGGAACAAGTTCTAGTATTCACAGTAAGGTGACTAATTAATAACATTGTATATTTCAAAACAGCTAGATGGAACAATTTCTTTTCTTTGAGGCAATGGATATCCTAATCACCCTGATTTAATAATTACACATGTATGCAGGTATCAAAATATACATTCAGGTGGGGCATGGTGGCTTAGGCCTATAATCCCAGCACTTTGGGAGGCTGAGGTGGGCTGATCACCTGAGGTCAGGAGCTTGAAACCAGCCTGGCCAACATGGTGAAATCCCATCTCTACTAAAAATACAAAAATTAGCTGGTGCAGTGGCATGCACCTGTAGGCCCAGGTAGTTGGGAGGCTGAGGCAGGAGAATCACTTGAACCCAGGAGGCGGAGGTTGCAGTGAGCTGAGATTGCCGTGAGCTGAGACTGTGCCACTGCACTCTAGCCTGGGCAATAGAGCAAGATTCCAACTCAAAAAAAAATTAATCATATATGCCCCATTAATATATACAAATTATAGTGTTTCAATAAAAACTTCACCTCAGAGTTGTTTTTTTTTTTTTGAGACGGAGTTTCGCTCTTGCTACCCAGGCTGGAGTGCAATGGCGCGATCTCGGTTCACCGCAACCTCTGCCTCCTGGGTTCAGGCAATTCTCCTGCCTCAGCCTCCTGAGTAGCTGGGATTACAGGCATGCGCCACCATGCCCAGCTAATTTTTTGCATTTTTAGTAGAGACGGGGTTTCACCTCGTTGACCAGGATGGTCTCAAGCTCTTGACCTCGTGATCCACCCACCTCGGCCTCCCAAAGTGCTGGGATTACAGGCCTGAGCCACTGCACCTGGCCCCAACCTCAGAGTTTTTAATTTTGCTGGGAGAAAACAAGATAAAAATATGACAAATTAAATCATTTTAAAACAAGACAAATATTTCAAGATAAAAGATATGAGGTAGTACATAATCACTTATCCAAAGAACTGCAGAGAAAATACGGTCATTAAGACAAAAGAGAGAGAGATCACAAACTGGGCAGTCAGTGAAAGCCACATAGAAGATACCGTGGCTGAAGTGGGTAAGGAGGAATGCAGAACTCGGCAAGAGGACTGGGCAGGCCTTACAGAGAAAGGCAAAAAGGAAAAGAAATAGGTAACTAGATGTGTTGAGGAGACAGTAGTCTAGCCAGAATGGTGGATTCAGGTAGGGAATTTTTGAGAGCTACAGCTAGGAAAATACAGAATAGTCAAATTGTGAAGGGACCATAACTGCTCAACCAAAGGGCTTTTCTCCTAGGGGCTCAACATTTCTCAGCATATGTTCTGTGGACTACTGGCATGAGAATCACCTGTGGTGCTTGATAAAAATGCAGTTTCCTAAACCCAGCCTGGACCTACTAAATATGAATCTATATGCAGTGGGGCCTAGAAATTTTTATCGTGTTTTTGTATGTCTTTTCGTTTTTCCCCTTAACTCAGGCTGGACTACAGTGGCGTAGTCACAGCTCACTGTAGCCTTGACCTCCCCAGGCTCAGGTGATTCTCCCACCTGGGACTATAGACAAGTGCCACCATGCCTGGCTAGGTTTTGTTTGTTTGTTCTTTTTTTCTTTCTTGTATTTTTTGTAGAGACAGGATTTTGCCATGCTGCCCAGCCTGGTCTTGAACTCCTGTGGCTCAAGCAGTCCTCCCATCTCCGCCTCCCAAAGTGCTGAGATTACAGGTGTGAGCCACCATGTCTTGTTTTTATTGTTTTTAAACAATCTTCTCATCTGATGTTTATGTACACAAACATTTCTGAATCACTGCTGTAGGTATTAGGGAATTGTTCAACTTTTTTTTTTTCCAGTAAAGGGGTGATATGACCAAAGAAAGTGATATACACAAAATAAATGAAGGAAACGGGGCCACTAAAAAGGCTACTGTAGAGTCTAGGTAGTCTAGGCATGACCTGATAAGGATCTAAAATATTACTGTTGACAGTAAAAACAGGGAAAAAGAAACTAACCCAAGAATATGAAGAAAGACCAACATGATTTAAAGTCTGATCAGGACTAAGAGGACTTAAAATGATGTGTTTTATACTAAGCCTCTGAGATTACAAAGAATGTTGTTATCATGAACAGAAACAAGAAGACTGTGATACATAGCTTCTTTTAAAGAAAAAATAAAGTTCTTCTTATTTTATTAATTTAATTATTTTTAAGAGATGGAGTCTCGCTATGTTACCCAGGCTGGATTTGCACTCCTGGGCTCAAGTGATCCTCCTACCTCAGTCTCCCTAGTAGGTGTGATTACAGATGTGTGCTGCCATACCCAGCTTTTTTTTTTTTTGGAGACAGAATCTTGCTCTGTCCCCAAAGCTGGAGGGCAGTGGCATGATCTTGGCTCAATGTAGCCTTTACCTCCCAGGTTCAAGCAATTCTCCTGCCTCAGCCCCCGCAAGTAGCTGGGACTATAGGTGCATACATCCTGTCAGCTAATTTTTCTATTTTTAGTAGAGACAGGTTTTTACCATATTGGCCAGGCTGGTCTTGAACTCCTGGCCTCAAGTGGTCCACTTGCCTCACCCTCCCAAAGTGCTGGGATTACATGCATGAGCCACTGCATCTAGCGCATACCCAGTTCTCAAAGGGTTTCAGCATGTTAAATTTGAGGTGATGACAGGATGTTTGACAGTCAGGGGGAGGGTGTGTGTGTGTGTGTGTGGGGGGGAGAGAGAGAGAGAGAGAGAGAGAGGGAGGGAGGGGGGGAAGAGAGAGAGTATACACACACTACACCACACAAAAGCATTTTCTGTCCCATATAATCTAAGTTTACTATTTTCTCAAATAATTGTTACAGTTCCACAATTCTAAGATTATAATATATATCACAGGTTCTATTATCTAACCAATATCCCATGGACTCCAAACTCACATTTTCAAATTAGTCTATAGATTTCAAATAAATCTTTTAGAGAAGAATTTACATACTGCAGGGAAAATACCATTTTAAAACCTCTTTTAAATGATACTAACATATCATTCAAAAGTATGTAGCAGGCCTATAGACTGAGCATACTGTCAAAAGGCATTAAGTGGAAAACCCTCCCTGCTCTGGAGGCGGGGATTTGTTCTACAAAGCCTCCTGTCATGCCAGTGGCCAACTAGACAAGTTGGAGTTTTTTCGGTGTCCCCCCCCCATGACATGTGCTTTAAATGCAGTGGAAAGGAAATGTGTCATCTGTGGTTTGGTTTTATAAGTGGAAAACTAGCTGCACATATCCTTTTTTACTGCAGATTTACTTTAAGGTTCATTTCTACAAGTCTGTTCTGCTTTAAATAAGAAGACAAGAAAAGAAGTTGTTTATCAAAATCACGTTATAATCAGATTTTGACCAAGCATTTTGTAAGGTAGGTCATATATATATGGCTTTTCTTATGCCTTTTCACTTCTAACTTTTGACAGATTAGTGTTCGAGGAAATGCTATCAAAGTGTATAAGACTCTCACTAACAAACTAGAATTGTGACTGAAAATGTATACTTTTTTTTTTCTATGCTATTACATAAATTTTATGTTAGAAATGAAAATATTTACCAT